TCCAGCCTGGGCAACAGAGCCAGACTCCATCTTTAAAAAAGAAAAAAAATAATAATAATAGTAATTGAATGCTTATGACGCTGCAGCCTGGCTTTCAGAGCAATTAACAAGAGCTGGGGGTCAGGATCAGTGTGTCATATTAAACAAGGAAAAAACAGAACCAAAGCATTTTTTTTTTTAAGAACAGGGTTGGTGGAGATTGGGATTTATAATAAATGACTGTGTTTCCTACTTTTTCTGGGCTTTTTTTCCCTCCATCTGTGAAAAATGGTCATCTGAGTCCCTTCTGGATAAATATTTTTATTTAAATTCTTAAGTTCATAACATATATTCAACCAAGCTTGCTGTCAGAAATTTCAGATCTTTCTATCCGTTGCTCAGGTATTATGTCAGGGTTGTAGGTATTTCCTTTTCTTACTCCATGAGTTAGGGGGTAAGGGTAAGGGCTGGGAGGTTCTAACTGAGGCAGAGATGAGAGAGGTTTGCCTTGAAGAGATGGATGTGGACTGCCCCTGAGCTTCCACCTGCCAGGTGTTGGTGCAGGAACCATAGCCTCTCCTTAGTGCTTCATGCACCTCTGCAGGGATTGCATCTGGATGCCCCCACATTATCCTTTAAAAATGGGTGAAGATGGCCAGGCGTGGTGGCTCACGCCTGTAATCCCGGCACTTTGGGAGGCCGAGGCTGGTAGATCGCCTGAGGTCAGGAGTTCGAGACCAGCCTGGCCAACATGGAGAAACCCCATCTCTACTAAAAGTACAAAAATTAGCTGGGCGTGGTGGCGGATGCCTGTAATCCCAACTCCTCGGGAGGCTGAGGCAGGAGAATCTCCTGAACTCGGGAGGCGGAGGTTGCAATGAGCCGAGATTGTGCTGCTACTGTGCTCCAGCCTGGGCGACAGAGAGACTCCGTCTCAAAGAAAAAACAGGCGTGAAGACATGGACTCCACTAAAATCTAAAAGCTCCTCATTTCCACTGAGCCATACAAACAAAATGGAAAGCAAGTTTCGGGTCAAGGAACCAGCTTTTTATCAGGTACTACCAGGCACTTGGGAGGACAAGGAAATGGTGGAGAAGGGTGAAGCTTCTTGGAACTTCCTTTGTAGTTTTGTAAGGACAATATTTAATGAAAACTAAAAATATGAAGTATCATATTTTTAGCATAGTTATAGAAAAATTATACTCAACTATTAGGATAATATACCTTGGAAGGATGTTCTTTGAAACTTTCTATGATAGTTTAACGTATACACAGAAAAGGCACATTTTGATGGTGTTTAACAAACTGAACACACCCCTGTCATACACCCATGTAAGCAGCACCCAGATGAAGAAACAGAAGGTGGCCAGCACCCCAGAAACCTCTCTTGTGCTTCTTACCAGATTCTACCCATTGCATCTCATCCCACGAAAAAAACCTGCCCTCTTGACTTCTAATAGTATATATTAGTTTATCTGTGTTGGTACTTGATATGGTTTGGCTGTGTCCCCACCCAAATCTCATCTTGAATTGTAGTTCCTATAATCCCCACTTGTCGTGGGAGGGAGCCATTGGGAGGTAATTGAATCATGAGGGCAGTTACCTCCATACTGTTCTCGTGATAGTGAGTGAGTTCTCACTAGATCTGATGGTTTTATAAGGGGCTTTCCCCCCTGCTTCATTCTGTACTTCTCCTCGCTGCCACCATGAGAAGAAGTTGTTTGCTTCCCCTTCGCCATGATTGTAAGTTTCCTGAGGCCTCCTCAGCCATGCTGAACTGTGAGTCAATTAAACTTCTTTCTTTTATGAATTACCCAGTCTTGGATATGTCTTTGTTAGCAGCATGAAAATGGACTAATACAGTACTTCATATAAATAGAATCCTACAGTATATATACTGCAGTGCATCTGATTCCTTCCCCAAAATGATGTGTGCAAGATTTATGTGTGTTAGTCTATAGTTATAGTTCCTCCATTCTTGCTGTATAGTATTTCATTGTGTGATTACCCCACATATTCATCCATTCCCCTATTGGTTGCATCTGGATGGTGTCCAGTTTCACCCATGGTATGCTGCTGTGCATGTTCTGGTGTGTATATTTTTGTGTGCATATGAATGTGTTTCTCTTGAGTGTGTAACTAGAGTGCATTTTCTGGGTCACAGGGTGTACATATATTCAACTTTAGTAAGTAATATCCGACAGTTTTCTAAAGCAGTTGTGCAAGTTTACTTTCCAGCCGGCAGTCAGCAGTGCATAGCAGTTCTGGTTACTCCGTATGTTTGCCAACACTGGTTATTTTCATCTTGAAAGTTTTTTTTTTTTTTTTTTTTTTTGAAGATCAAAATTTTCCCGATGATGGATCCCTCTGATCTGGTTCCTTTCCTAATTAAAAAAAAAAAAAACGAGGCTGGGCGTGGTGGCTCACACTTGTAATCCCAGCACTTAGGGAGGCTGAGGCAGGCGATCACAAGGTCAAGAGATCGAGACCATCCTGGCCAATATGTGAAACCCTGTCTCTACTAAAAAAAATACAAAAATTAGCGGCATGGTGGGCGCACGCCTGTAGTCCCAGCTACTCGGGAGACTGAGGCAGGAGATCGCTTGAACCTGGGAGGCGGAGGTTGCAGTGAGTCGAGATCGCACCACTGCACTCCAGCCTGGTGACAGAGCGGGACTCCATTCTCAAAAAAAAAAAAAAAAGAAAAAGAGAAACAACAAAGCGGGGGGGAATAATCCCACCTAATGAGATACCCATTTATTGTGAGGCACTGAGAGATCCAGTGATCAGCTTTGTACAGAACACCAGCAGGAACAAGCTTGGTGCTTTCATTAGCTGTAGGGGGGCCTCTCTTTTTCTGGTGGAACTTCAAGGTGATACATAAGGACAAACTATAAGATAATGACCTGCGAAGACAAGATAACTATAAACATAAAGTGAAGCAAATTTAATCTCATAAATAGACATGCATTTTTTTCCCCCTAAGTTTCTCAGTTACAAGTCCTCACCGTGTGGCTTCCAATGTCTTTATGCGCCTCTCCTCCTCCCACTCAGTCTTTACAAAGTGATTCCATTTGCTTGTCAGGTGGTGTTCTGCTGTTTCTTCTTGGATTGTCTAGCGTATTGAAATCTTCTTTATCTACAGACAAAATATATTGTTATCCACATAACAACTTGCTGGACCAGTTAGGTTTGCCCAGTGGGAGGTGACTTTGTTGGTTGACACCATTTTTAATATTGATGCTGTTTCTTTATGTGGAATACCAAACCTGATCCGATCAGAAATAATAAAGATAAAGTACTCTCTTGACTTTAAGTTCCACAGGCTGCCAGCCAGCACAGGAAGTCATGTGCTGGTTGGGGTCCTGTTTAATTAAAATTGTGTTTACAATGGGCTGGGCGAGGTGGCTCACACCTGTAATCCCAGCACTTTGGGAGGCCGAGGCAGGCGGATCACTTAGGTCAGGAGTTCGAGACCAGCCTAGGCAACATGATGAAACCCATCTCTACTAAAAATATAAAACTTAGCAGGCGTGGTGGCACATGCCTGTAGTCCCAGCTGCTCGGGAGGCTGCACGAGAATTGCTTGAACCTGGGAGGCAGAGGCGTAGTAAGCAAGATCGTTCCACTGCACTCCAGCCTGGGTGACAGAGCAAGACCCTGTCTCCAAAAAAAAAAAAAAAACACACCACCAACAAAAACCAGAATTTTGTTTATAAGCCATCACTCAAATGAGTCAGAAAACTAAGAAGGTGCTTCAAAGGAAAAAACAATGAAGTGTTTTTGTGCATGAAAAATGATGTTAGTAGCTCCTTCAGTATTGTCGTGGCTGAATAGACTATTTCTTGAGATGGGCTAACTTCTGAGCATTTGTTTCACCTCTCTGGACTTAAAAGAATACCTGAAAAGGTCCAGTATCTCCTCACCTGTAAAAACTCATTGATTGAATTCCTAAAGAATCATTAATAGTGAGTTATCACACATGTGCTGTCTCTTGAAAACTATTCTGACTTGCCTTTCAGAACCCGGAGTCACCCCAGTCCCACTTAGGTCACCATTGGTGGGTGTTGGTCACCATTTTCTTTTTTTTTTTTTTTTTTTTGTTTTGAGACGGAGTCTTGCTCTGCCGCCCAGGCTGGAGTACAGTGGCCGGATCTCAGCTCACTGCAAGCTCCGCCTCCCGGGTTCACGCCATTCTCCTGCCTCAGCCTCCCGAGTAGCTGGGACTACAGGCGCCTGCCACCTCGCCCGGCTAGTTTTTTTGTATTTTTAGTAGAGATGGGGTTTCACCGTGTTAGCCAGGATGGTCTCGATCTCCTGACCTCGTGATCCGCCCATCTCGGCCTCCCAAAGTGCTGGGATTACAGGCTTGAGCCACCGCGCCCGGCCGGTCACCATTTTCTTAATGCCCATCTCAAACAGGCCACTTTTAGCACGTGGAGTGTTGTTGGGCGGCTGCAATTCTTAGAGGCTCCCATGGAGTCCCCAAAGACAGTATTTCTTCTGGCTACCTGACCGCTTCCCCAGCCCTAGTTCTGTCTTGCTGCTTAGCACCAGGATAGGACCTTTGGATCTGGGTTGCAGTGGTTCACGAGGGCAGGGCTGTTGTAGCTTCCTATGTCAGTAATGTCCCTCAGTCCCACTCATGCCCTGTAACTGACCAGACTTGTCTGGAAACTGACCTTTACTTCACAGGCACCTTCGTGAGTAGACACCAAGTTGTCTGTGTTAGGAGTGTCACTTTCACATGTGAATTCAGTAAGTACATTGAGTGAGCGGATGTGGTGGCTTCATTCAGGACAGCCCTTGAAGGGGAGGAGGGGAGAGTGGGCATCTGACCTGAGACTCACTTTTTGTTACTAATTTCCTGAAGGAAGAGGAGGTCAGGTTAGCCTCATCCGTGGGTGTCTAGACCTGTCACCTCGACTGCCAGGCATTGCTTCTCTGGAAATGCTCCGGTTCATTTTTCTTAAGTTCCTAAGAGGTGCCTTTTTCTTCCTGCCCCTTCTTCCTGGTACAGACCACTAGCCAGACGGAGCTCGAAAACTGGATCACCGCCATCCACTCTGCCTGCGCCACTGCGGTCGCAAGACACCACCACAAGGAAGACACGCTCCGACTCCTGAAATCAGAGATCAAAAAACTGGAACAGAAGATTGACATGGATGAAAAGATGAAGAAAATGGGCGAAATGCAGCTGTCTTCAGTCACTGACTCAAAGAAAAAGAAAACAATATTAGATCAGGTAATCGTTCTTCCGTGTTTAGATCCAGACAAAATTGTTAGGTCTCTAAAAGGTTTTTTTTCTTTTTTTGCTGTTTTGGAATCGTGAAACATCATCAGATATCTCCTCGACAGCCTGTCATCCAGGATGCTGAGTTCTTTATTGTGACTGTCGGTGTTCTTCACTCTTTGTTCATAGCTGATTGTTAACAACTAAACGTAACAATACTACATTGAATGAAAGACGGAAACCCAATAGAGGAGCCCCCAGCCCCCACCAAGGATGTGCTGTTCTAGGGGATCTGTGTAACTGGAAAGTTTGCAATTTCATTTCCCATATTATCAGACTGACCTGGAGTTCTCTTATGGTGGGGACTCATTTCTTACTCCTCAGTAAATTTTGAATTCTTAATTTGGAAAAGGTAAAGTACATTCAAAAGATATATCTGGCTGGGCGTGGTGGCTCATGCCTGTAGTCCTAGCACTTTGGGAGGCTGAGGTGGGCATATTCGTTTGAGCCCAGGAGTTCAAGACCAGCCTGGCCAACATGGCAAAACCCCATCTCTACACAAAAAATAACAAAAAATTAGCCACACCTATAGTCTCAGGAGGCCGAGATGGGAGGATCACCTGAGCCTGGGAGGTGGAGGCTGTGGTGGGCCAAGATTGTGCCATTGTACTCCAGCCTGGGTGACAGAGCAAGACTATCTCTCTCTATATCTAGATATATATATATATAATTGCTTTATATGTGCATAAGTATATTTCATGCTAAACAGAAAAGATTGAGTGAAATGAACATAGAACATTTTTGCCTGCTATTCAGCTGTCAGTAACAGCTATCTGGTAATGCTTTGACACTTTGTCCTAATGCTTAGGAAATAATTACATGAATAAATGATATTTAAGAATTTGAACAATTGACATGGGCCTTCCACATTTCTCTCCCTCTGGGGTTTCCCTTTGTTACCTGATATTGTGTTTTTTTAAATTGACGCAAAATTCACATAATGTAAAATCAACCATTTTAACACGAACAATTCAGTAGCATCGAGTATGTGTACAATGTGGTGCAGCCACTACCCCATCTAGCCCTGAAATGTGTTAATCTGCCCCAAAAGGTAACCCCATACCTGTGAAGCAGTTGCTCGCCTCTGCCCCCGGCACTGTCTTCTTGGATTTGCCTATTCTGGATGTTTCATGTGAATGGAATTCCACAGTACGTGGCCTTTTATGTCTGGCTCCTTCCCTGAGCTTCATGTTTTGGAGGTGGATCCACGTGGTAGCATACATCAGCACTTTACTCCTGAGTGCTGGCTGAATCATATTGCGTTGTATGTATACACCGTGGTGTGTTTATTGGCCATTTGTTGATGGACATTCGAGCTGTTTCCACCTTTTGCGAACAGTGCTGCTGTGAACACGTGTGTACAGTGATACTATATTTTGTCGAAGCACAAAGGGAGATTTCAACCATTCATCATTATCTGTCAGCATCACTGAGCCTTCGCTCTATGCCAGACCTTGTCCTTAGGCTTGTATTATCTTTTTCAAACATCCCAACAGCCTTATGAGGTAGGTATTATTTTGCCACTTTGAAAAATGAGGGAATGTCTCAGAGACATGCTACAGCTGGAACTTTGTATTCCAGAGCCTAGGTCTCCACCGTCTTGTGTTCCGCTTCCACCCTTTGTTCCAGGCTACCACGCTCTTCCCAAAAGCACTTGGTCAAGTGCTTCTAGCCTTTAATTCGTCTCACTCTCCTTTATATGAAAACCCACCTCTTGTTAAGTCATATAGTTCTCTGGTGATGGAAATCTCTACCTTTTTACTTCTTCAGTCTTGTGTTTGTGGCCCAGAGCTTGGAGTTGACACACCTATCATGCCCCCAGTACGAACTCCAAGATAGGAGGGAACAGAAGAACTTGTCATTTTCTATTTATGATGCTGAATTTATGGCTGTAGATCTTTGCAGAAGGAAACATAAGTAACTAAGAAACTTAGGTACCTGTTGTTTATTCCTTAGGATTATAGTGAATGCCTTTACGACATGTAGATTTGTATAGGATGAAAATATTAACATTTGTTTCCCGTGTTCTCACTTTTTCTTTTCCCGTGTTTTCACTACTGTAGATCTTTGTCTGGGAGCAAAATCTCGAGCAGTTCCAAATGGACCTCTTTCGTTTCCGCTGTTATTTAGCCAGCCTGCAGGGTGGGGAGCTGCCAAACCCCAAAAGGCTTCTTGCTTTTGCAAGTCGACCAACGAAAGTGGCCATGGGCCGCCTTGGAATCTTTTCCGTATCATCGTTTCATGCCCTGGTGAGTAGAAGCTAATGAATTTTTGAAAAACATTGAGCTTGACACTTAATCCTGAGCAGGACTTGACAAGAGTCTCCTAAGTGTTTTTCGAGCTTCCTGCTGTGTGTGGATTTCTGAAATGCCCTCCTATTGCAGTGGATGCAAAGTTCCATTTAAACCTGTCCAAAATATATTACTTAAGCATCTCTTGATGGGGGTGGCCTAAGCTGTTGTGCAAAGAAAATATGAAAGGTACCATCTTCAGCGTTGTTCACATGTAGTATTTGTTGATAGCTCTTGTCGTCTTCAGGCAGTGTCATGTTTGGAACCCAAATACCTATTTTTTATATTAACTTTGTGGGAATGGTGAGTGGAGTGCTCACTCTCATACATCAGTGCATTCTCAGGCTGGGTATGATGGCTCAGCACTGCGGGAGGCCAACGCAGGCGGATCACCTGAGGTCAGGAGTTCGAGACCAGCCTGGCCAACATGGTGAAACCCTGTTTCTATTAAAAGTACAGAAATTACCTGGGTGTGTTGGCGCACACCTGTAATCCCAGCTACTCGGGAGGCCGAGGCCTGAGAATTGCTTGAACCTGGGAGGAGGTTGCAGTGAGCCAAGATCGTACCACTGCACTCTAGCCTAGGTGACAGAGTGAGACTCTGTCTCAAAAAAAAAAAATATATATATACACACACACACACACACACACACACGCATTCTCATTCTGTCTCTTTCACTCAATCACTCACATACACATAATACATACACCATATATGGAACACAGATCTCTTTGGAGATCTCCATTTCACTTTATTTTTACTGTTGTTTTGATGACCACGAATACCCGATGCATTAGAGCAAGGCGACCTCTGTGATTCGCCGGCTGAACATATGCGTTGCTTGAGGAAGGGAATTTCCATCTGACCTCTACGGCGGCAGACTGTGTAGTTGTGTTGTGTGTTTATAATCTGTAATTTCATGTACTTGCTAAATTGCGAGCAGCTTTGTGTACTTTTGGCTCCTTCTCAAAAATTGCTGTATGAGTAACATGGTTTTAGTCTATCCAAGTCGACACCCACTTAAAATGTACTGCACCTTAGCACATTTGCTAGGGAATTAAATGTTAAGTCTCAGGTTCCAGAAACAGCTTTGTAAAACCTTAGCTGTGCTGTTCTTCTCTTGCTTTGTCAGCTGTACCCTTGTATTGCATTCAGAGCTATAATTCAGTCAGAGGCGTTTGTATTCTTTATAAATAGATTAGCATCATCATTCAGATAATTAGGGGTAGATTTACATTTTTAAAGAAGTCTTAAACCAATTTCTGGAGTTATTAAAACTGGCATCCTGATTTGTTCTGCTAATTACAGCTCAGCTCTTGGTCTCCCTGGCTACCACCTCTCCATACAGCTATTAAACCCTGTTTTTTCAGTAGTGGGACAAAGTGCTGTGTTGAATAAACTTACAAAAGGTTTTCAGTTTTTGACTCCAGATCTATTTCTCGGAGACCTGGACACTCATTTTTAACTTAGCCAAATCTCAGTTCGCCTATTCTGCAAATGAAAAACAAACAAAAAAAACTAGGATAGAAATTCTATCTCCTCGTCAGAATATCATCCATTGAGGGCACATTTTTATGAAGGGAACTCGTGGTGTCATTGAGGTACCATCTGTATTAATACTAAACCTTGAGAATCGAAGTGGCTCCCTCCTCTTACTATACCTTCTAGATTTTGGAGAAAATAATTTTGCTTTCTCCCTAAAACTTGTATGCTTTCATTATTTTCTTCAAAGTCATTGGGCGCAACCTCCCTGAGAAAGTTACCGTTTTACTCTTCCGTAATTCATCTTCGGACCCTCTAATTTCCTTCGTCTCAATGCCTGTGATGTGTGTGTATACTTTTCTTTCAAGGGGCAGGCTATTAAAATTTGGCCAGCTGGGCCGGGCGCGGTGGCTCAAGCCTGTAATCCCAGCACTTTGGGAGGCCGAGACGGGCGGATCACGAGGTCAGGAGATCGAGACCATCCTGGCTAACACGGTGAAACCCCGTCTCTACTAAAAAGTACAAAAAACTAGCCGGGCGAGGTGGCGGGCGCCTGTAATCCCAGCTACTCAGGAGGCTGAGGCAGGAGAATGGCACGAACCCGGGAGGCGGAGCTTGCAGTGAGCTGAGATCTGGCCACTGCACCCCAACCTGTGCGACAGAGCGAGACTCCGTCTCAAAAAAAAAAAAAAAAATTTGGCCAGCTGAAGATGGGGATGGGAGAGTTAGTTACTCTGAGGTGTTTTGGTCAGTGGTTTTAAAGAGTATTGAAGTCCATACGTTCAACTGTCTGTTCCTTTGTTGGATTTTTGCTCGCTTTGTCAGTGATACAAGTCTGGGTGTTTCAATATGTTCCTGCAACTTCTCTTTTCTGTGAGGGGTTTCATTTCAGACAGAACAAATCAGGCGAGCCTGTTGGGTGTCTGTTCCTATTTGTTGCTTTAGCTCCTGTGGAAGATCCCGGGCAGGGAATTTTACAGTCTGATTTATTAGGGACTCTTATTTTCTTTCCCTCCTCTCCTTGTCATTTGACCCCTGGGATTTTTTTTCTCCTTGGGGTTGAAACATTCTTCAATTTAGTCTTTGTCCAGATTTTTTTTTTTCCTTCTTTTCAGTAGGGGAGGAGGAAGGAGGAGGTGTGAGGGTAACAGGGCTGGGTCGGAGAGAGTGGAGCTACAATTGAAGTAGCATTCACTGAGAAAGCTTTCCGTAATGCTGCGTGATTTGCAGTAATTAACTGAAGGGCCCCCGCTGTACTCTTTGAAAGAAGGTTATCATTGTTCTTGTTTGCACAGATGAGCAGAATGATAGAGTAATCAGGTTCAGGCCACAAAGGGAGGCATTGTCTGGGCAAAGATCATTGAGAAACTCTTGAGCTCTGGTCCAGCAGTTCTTCTGCCAGCCCTTTTTCTAAATCCCTTTGCTCATTTTGAGTCATTATTGTCTTGGAGGTAGTGGTTACTTTTGCAGTTTACAAGGCTCCAAGCAATTGAGAATACTGCTTATAAGAAACTTAAGTGAAGTGTTTTGTTAAACAGGCTAAACTAACTAGTCAGCTGGTTAACTGAGAATATTTTTGGGTGTATGGATTTCTCTTTCATGCTCTCTTTGTCTGGAAATTGTAAACTGAAGAGTTACCTTTTCATTGTTGTCACCATGTTACATAGGGATATGCTTTTGTTTTGTAGTATTTATGTATTTATTTGTTCAAGCAACAAATATATGTAAGTGCCTGGCATCTGTCAGTTTTATCCTTGTGATTAGGACTATAGTGAACAGCACAGAGTTTCTGTCCTCTTGAAGCTTTTATTCTTGTGGGAGAGAAGGGTAAGAAATAAGTAAACAATTAACTAGACACGGTAAGTACAGGTATTGCTGTGTGTTTGAAGAAAGCAAACGGTCATATATGTCAACATATTTATATGGCTTCCTCTATGTATGTGTCACTATTAATGACTGGATTTGTTTGTAAAATGACTGTATGACCGTGAGGCCAAATGGACATCTTTTTCCTCTAGAATTTAAAATTTTTAACACCATTTATTCAGTGTTGACATAGTCATGTGAGCCTATGCGTGTCTGCATGTTATAATTTATTCGTTTTACAACCTTTATTTACCTTTAACGGAGAAAGTGATGAAAATAGAGAAAATTTTTGCATATCTTACGGTGTGTTTGTCTTGTGATTTTGTTTCCTGTGACATCTCCAGTGTAATCTTAGATTAAGATCTTTCTCATGAAAATTCCCACCGGTGTCTTGGATACCACATTTTTCTGTGCCCTGATCTGGGTTTTTTTGTTTTGTTTTGTTTTTAACCTGCCAAGCTGAGAAAATGCAAAATACAAGACCTCTCAGCTCCCTCATCTTCCTATTTTTGTTTGGGTCCAAAAACCTTCCCTCTAAATACCCTTGTAGAGAAGCTGTTTTGATTCCTGTTTTTAATGTACGTAGGGGTCCCTGCCAATCCACCCATGGGGCTTCTGCGGTGTTTACATTGTCAATACTGAAGCCCCAGAGAGGCATGCCTCCCAACCAACACGCTGACTGCTGGGGAGGCCCCTCATGTTACCAACAGTGCCTCATCCCCTGCATTGCTGCCAGTTGGCATCTGTCACATCGGGAGCTGCCTGTGTGGGAATCTACAAGTAGGTTCCAAGACATTCACCTCTGGCAACAAAAGAGTGGGTGGAGAAGTTTCATTTCAAGTCTGACTCGCTGTTCCTCCGGCCACTCCCTTTTTTCTGAAAGGCAAGCCCGTGGGTGGCCCATGGAGACACCTTCTGGCAGAAGTTCCCTTAAGTTCCTGGGATAAAGTTCTTTTGCCACCTGTAGGATAAAGTTCAAGCCTGAATGTTTTGCCTGGGAGGACTTTCTGGAGTCCTTGTGGAGATTCTACTTGAGCAGTTATCCTGGTGACAGATTGACCTTTAGGGTGTTCCCTTGTGAAATGCTTCTCTGGGATCACGCCACTGGACTCCAGCCTGGGCGACAGAGCAAGACTCCCATCTTAAAAAAAAAAAAGAAAAAGAAAAAGAAATGCTTCTCTGGGTTGCTGGTACATTGTAATATCTCGACAGAGTTTAGCTTTTGTTTGACAAAAAAATACAAGTTTTCTTTCCCATTTACCTAAACATAGGACATGTAAGTGATGCAAGTCTGGTAAGGTGCCTTCGTCTTCAGTGAGCCCGGTCTCTTTTGTCTTGTTATTCTGCCATCCTTGAAAAGGCTTGGGTAGGGACATCCTCGACCGCAACACACACCTTCCTCTTATCAGGAAAAAGAAAACAGATAGGATAGCGGAAAGGATAACAGAAGACCCCCTCCCATTGAGCACAGTTCCTGAAAGTTGCAAATAGTTTTTTTGCTTATGTGCCATTGACCAGAACTTAAGCCCAATCCATGCCCTGCTGCAAGGAAAATAAGTCATCTTGGACTTAGTGGCTGCATGCTCACTTACATTTGAGGTATTTGAGATTTTCCTTTTTTTTTTTTTGAGACAGAGTCTCGCTCTGTCGCCCAGGCTAGAGTGCAGTGGCGTGATCTCAGCTCACTTCAACCTCCACCTCCTGGGTTCAAGCAATTCTCCTGTCTCAGCCCTCCCCAGAGTAAGCTGGAATCTAAGGACGGCCACCCAACGCCCGTGCTATTTTTGGTATTTTTTTAGTAAACGACCGGGTTTTCACCATGTGGCAGGCGGTCTCGACCCTCCTGACCCCAGGTGATCCCACCCGCCCTCTGGGATTACAGTGCACCCTGTCACCATGGCCTGGCTAATTTTGTATTTGTAGTAAGGCATACAGGGTTCACATGGTGGCCCGGCTGGTCTTCGAACTCCTGACCTCAGTGATCCACTCCGCCTCAGCCCCCACAACCTGAGTACACGCCAGTGAGCCCACCGCCCCTGGCCTCACTTAGATTTCTGACTAAGATGGACTAGCGGATGATATTGGGCCATACATCATTGCCTGATTGACACTGCTTATATCATCCTAAGAACAAAAATAGTAAGCGATTGGTAAGTTCAGAATTAACCTGGAAACCAGAACAAAACTCTGCCTGTGTTTCCACTATGTTGCTGACGCTTGGAGCACCATTTTCAATAAGTAATGCAGACACAGCCTGTGGCATTTGGAGAGAAAGCCTGGCTCCATTTCCCTTGCTGTGTCAGTTCCAAGCCCTGTGGACCAAGAAAGGACCCCACGCCATTTTCGAACAAACATATATTTTATTCCATATATGTTATTTTGCCTGGGACCTCAAACAAGCTTGACTTTGCCAACCCTTGATCATTTCCCATTCTGAAATCCATGCAGGGCTGCTCAAGTCCAGTATCTGGTCATGATTAACTACTTTCGAGCCGTTGAGGTCAGGGTAGGCTGGCATGGATGGAAGGAGGTTTTTTTTGAGGTGGGACTTCTGGGACCTGAAGACATAGGTGAAGGTCCCATGTCCGCCCTCATTTAGTGGCTGCTGTCCTGCCGTCCCTCTAGGGCAGCAACCGCACTGTGAATCTGGAGTGAGCAGACGTACTCAGGCATGCCAGCATCCGCAAACAAGCCGAAGAGCAGGGTTTTCTTCCCTGTGGGTCTTGATCCTATACCATCCAAAAGAAGCAGGGACCGTCAAGTATCATCAGGTAGGGTTTCCGCAGCCGATGAAAAGCCGACCCACACAGATCGCTTCTGTGGCCCCTCAAATTTGGATGTATGTGGGTCTTCTTGAGCGAAGGGTTATTTCAACATCAACTAGTTAACACACAGAAGCTAAGCCGTGCTAGACATTTTAATAGTCATGCATCCATAACGTGAACGCTACTATTAGCGTCACAAGCTGCCACAGTTTCCCACCTGCATCCTTTCCACACCCTTGGAATTATAGACCTATCAAAGCGCACAATTTCACCCTGAGTCTCAGGGAAAGCAGGCCTATCATGACCGCCAAGGCCCCTGAGTGCAAGTCTTTTTTTTTTTGTTTTTTCGACCGCGTTTCACTTGTCACCAGGCTTGGAGGCAGATGGCAACAATCTCGGCTCCCTGCCACCTCCACCTCCTGGTTCAAGTGATCTCCTGCCTCAACCTCTCCGAGAGCGGACTATGGCCACGCACCCCACGCCCAGCAATTTTTGTATATTTATACATGGGAAATTCAACCCTATTGGCCAGGCTTGGTCTGAACTGCTGACCTCGTGATCCAACCTGCCTTAGCCCCCCAGGTGCCTGGATTACAGGTGTGAGCCACTGTGCCTGGCCATGCTTTTTTAAGCTGCCTCTGGCACTGCATGAAACTGATTATTCTCTGCCCTTCACTTTTTGGGGTTGACATTAAATGGGCAGATCCTCTGCCTACTGGAACGAGGAGCCAGGAATCCGAGAGAGCTTGCCTACTGCCACGGCCTCCTTCTGCTCAGGTCCAGGGGCTGGAACGGGATTTTGGTATGTCATGAGGGCACAACATAGCCTGGTGCCATGACAGGTGTCCACTGACCATGTGCAGCCACCCAATTCTTCCCCATTAATTTGACTTCTTTGACTTCTTCACTCGCCAAGGCCAGTCTCCTGCTGGGGTTACTTCCGGGAAGCTCACTGTCTGTTGTTGTTGTCATCCTTGTCCTTTGACTTTGAGAAATGAGTAGCTCCAGAACTGCTTGTTCAGATTTGAGGGACTAAAGGTACATGAGCATCTGTAGTCTTTCGGAAGAAGAATGTCCCGTTTGTGGGCTGCAGTGGCTGGAAAGTCAGGCCTTCAGCATTTTGGAGGTCATGACTAAGACTACTAGTTTGACCTATTCACCCCGTGCCCTTATGCAAAGTGAGAAGACGTCATCGACTGACTTGATAGAATGATCTCTCTTTTTTTGCTCTGACTGTTCCAGCCATTAACTTACTTAAGAAATGAATTTTAGAAAAGAGATTAGTCCTGAAAGCTGATGCACTGAGTCCCTTAGCTGACTATGATACTCACTGGCTTGTTTTGTTTTGTTTGTGATGGAGCCTCGCTCTGTCGCCCAGGATGGAGTGCAGTGGTGCAGTCTGGGCTCACTGCATCCTCTGCCTCCCAGTTAAAGCGGTTCTTCTGCCTCAGCCTGAGTGACTGGGATTACAGATGCTTACCACCATGCACAGCTAATAGCTAATTATTTTTATAATTTTAGTAGAGACAGGGTTTCACTATGTTGGCCAGACTGATCTCGAACTCTTAACCTCAAGTGATTTGCCTACTTCGGCCTCCCAAAGTGCTGGGATTATAGACGTGGGCCACCACGCCTGGCTGATACTCACTGTTTCAATGTGGCATTTCCCTATCCTTGATGGAACCTGCAGAGAGCAGATGAGCAAATGCTAAGCGAGTGTGAGACTGAAGCAGTTTTGCAGTTTGTCCTGTGGTCTTTGGGGAGAGTAGATCATTGAGCTTTCTTCCATGGGTTTTGCTTTTATGTAAATCTAAAGAAAAAACTGTGGAGGAAAGTCAACATTTCATCAGAAAAAATCATGTAAGAGACTTGATGGTTCTCAGTTAAAACCTGCAAAAGGAGGACATGAATGATCAGCATTTCTCTTTTTTCTTTTTTTTTTTTTTTGAGACAGAGTCTCACTCTGTCACCCATGCTGGAGTGCAATGGCGTGATCTCGGCTCACTGCAACCTCTGCCTTCCGGGTTCAAGCGATTCTCCTGCCTCAGCCTCCTGAGTAGCTGGGATTACAGGCGCCCGCCACCACACCTGGCTAATTTTTGTGTTTTTAGTAGAGACGGGATTTCACCATGTTGGTCAGGCTGGTCTCGAACTCCTGACCCTGTGATCTACCCGCTTTGGGCTCCCAAATTGCTGGGATTGTAGGCGTGAGCCACCACGCCCGGCCCATTTCTCTTCTTTTGGGAGGTGGTGGTGTCACTGTGTATGTATCTTCTGCCCTGAGCGTTGGCTCAGCCCACTGCTTCTGGACTTCACAGTTTGGACTTGTTTTCTAGCAAAACCCTTTTTTCATGTGCTTCTGCTTGATTGGCACCAGGTTACGCTACCGCCCATTTCTACTGAAATATATGACTGAATTTAAATGGATTCAATAGAATGTTTTCACATTTTTCTAAAATCAAAGCACAATGTAATGTCAAACAATTCTTTTAATTTTTTCTTAAAGTATGAGGTTTTTTTTATTATTATTATACTTTAAGTTCTAGGGTACATGTGCACAACGTGCAGGTTTGTTACATATGTATACTTGTGCCATGTTGGTGTGCTGCACCCATCAACTCGTCAGCACCCATCAACTCGTCGTTTACATCAGGTATAACTCCCAATGCAATCCCTCCCCCCTCCCCCCTCCCCTCAAAGTATGAGTTTTTGAGAACCTTCTGCTTAGCCATAAACATCCCAGTAGAAATCTACTCATTAATTCTGTAATTTGAAATGGACAAAAATTATGTTTTTTTGGTTTTTTGTTTTTTTGGCTAGGCGTGGTGGCTCATGCCTGTAATCTTAGCACTTTAGGAAGCAAAGGTGGGAGGATTCTTTGAGGCCAGGAGTTTGAGACCAGCTTGGGCAACAGAGCAACACCCAATCTCTACCACAAAAAAGTTTAAAACATTGTATGTTTTTGTATGTTTTGTTTGCATGGAGGAAAGGCTTTTTCTTAGTTGTGTACATTATCCTGATACTACATGCTATTCTGATTTTCATGATATCTTTAAGTTAGCAGGATTGATTACATTTCAAAGAAGAGACAATTTTCTATTTTTTAAATTAAAAAAACCCTATGTTGCCATGTTGAGGTAAAAAAACTATAATATTCTCATGCTCTACTTAAGAAAGTATTACAAAGCAAACATTTTTATTTATAAGTATCTGGTCAGGTATATGAGGCTGTAAGAGAAATGCTTCATTGTGGGTTTATCTAGCTCGTTGCTTTTGCTAGTTTCTTTTATATTTATATTTTTCTCTGTCTTTTTTTTTTTTTTTTTTTGAGACAAGGTCTCAGTCTGTTGCCCAGGCTGGAGTACAGTGGTGTGTGGTCTCAGCTCGCTGCAACCTTGACCTCCAGGGCTCAAGTGATCCTCCCACTTCAGCTTCCCAAGTAGCTGGGACTCCAGGAACATGCCAGTATACATAGCTAATTTTCAAGTTTTTTGTAGAGACAGGGTCTCACTCTGTTGAGCAAACTGGTCTAGAACTCCTGGGCTCAAGCAATCCTGCTGCCTCAGCCTCCCAAAGTACCAGGATTACAGATATGAGCCACCATGCCTAGCCTATTGTCTTTCTTTCTTTACTTTTTTTGAGATAAGGTCTCCCTCCGTTGCCCAGATTGTAGTGCAGTGATGTTATCTTGTGATCCTCTCGCCTTAGCCTCTGGAGTAGCTGGGACTACAGGTGCGCACCACCGTGCCTGGCTAATTTAATGTAATTCTTTTTTTTTGTAGAGATGAGGTCTCACTATATTGCCCAGGCTGGTCTCAAACTCCTAGGCTCAAGCAGTCCTCCTGCCTCAGCTTCCCAAAGTGCTAGGGATTATGGGCATGAGCCACTATGCCCAGCCTATTTTCTTTAAGTAGAGATGAATTATCCAGATTTGAGAGCAAACTTTTTTTTTTCCCCAACTGTCAAAGACATAGGGAAGTGATGTAGATAGAGGGATGTGTTTTTCCAGGTCTGCTCCCATAAATTATTGTACCTGCTTTGGGATTTGATGTAGGAGTATCCGAACACGTGTGAAAGGTTTTGTCATAGCCACGCCCATTTCCTTCCCCCTTCCTAGGTTTCGTATGCCCTGTTGCCCAGATTCCTTTTTAAGATGGTACTTTTGTATACGCAGGTGTTTGGAGAGGGAACCGAAGCTGTAAAGAAGTCTTTAGAGGGAATATTTGATGACATTGTTCCAGATGGCAAGGTAAAAATAAACATGTGTTTTCTTTTCTAAAAGTACCGCAAGTGCATCAACATATACATGGTGCCGTGTTGTCTTGAGCTACTAAAATTAAATAAACTCAATATTAAAAACTGAAATGATCAGTTTTTAAAAGTTATGTAATAAGTCAACAAGAGATGGAAAATCATTTTCTATTTAAAACGGAGTGGTAGCGAGAACATTCTCCTGCTGACATCACATTTCCCATACTTACCATTTGATGTGTGACTTTCTCACTAGAATGTAAGAGGAAATTTGGGTTCTGAATAGCTGAATATTTTATGCCATTGCCAATTTCTTTCTGTGTACAACTTCTCTTCTGAAGAGGTGTGTTCTTACTGCCCTCCCTCTCTGCCCACACATGCTATTTTGCTCCCATTAGTTTCAAAGAACTGTTCCGATAGCGTGTTCTTTTGAAAAAGAAAAACAACAAAAACGCATTTGCCTCCCAAGTCAAGTATTCAATTAAATATTCGGCCGGGCGCGGTGGCTCATGCCTATAATCCCAGCACTTTGGGAGGCTGAGGTGGGCGGATCACGAGGTCAGGAGATCAAGACCATCCTGGCTAACATGGTGAAACCCCATCTCTACTAAAAATACAGAAAAAAATTAGCCGGGCGTGGTGGCGGGTGCCTGTAGTCCCAGCTACTCGGGAGGCTGAGGCAGCAGAATGGCGTGAACCCGGGAGGCGGAGCTTGCAGTGAGTGGAGATGGAGCCACTGCACTCCAGCCTGGGCGACAGAGCGAGACTCTGTCTCAAAAAAAAAAAAAAAAAGAAAAGAAAAGAGAAAAAGATTCACGGACTTGGTTCAGCCTTGTGCTTGGATTTAACAGGGGCTTTCAAACCGCTCTGATTGAAAGCCCATAAAAATACTGATTTTTTTTTTTTATTGGCCACTTTTTTCAGCCTCTAAATAAATAGATGTCTCTCGTTTTCAAGACCCTAGTAGTGATACTGGGAGCCTGTTTGTGTGGGGGATGGGGGTGGTCTGATGTTGATAAAGTGACCTTGGTGTGATCCTCTGGTTCTCAGGCTCAGAATCAATATGACAGAACTCAGCCCTCAGTTGCCATGTGACCAAGTAGCGTCAGTCGTCAGTGGCTCAGCCTCATGTTGTAGATGGAACTGAGTTTCAGAATCCAGAGTGCCGTGCGGAGTTCTGCTATTGGAGGGGGAAGAGAGAAGAGTGGTCATGGGAAGGCCTTTTCTTTCCTTCATACCCAAACTGCTAATGAATGATGCTATCCTGGATATAAAGGCCACTGTCTTTGGAAATACTCATCCATGGCCACTGTCTGAGCATCTGTCTCTGACGAAATTTGAAGAAACTCAGTTTTTGGGCCTATGTGCAATGCAAGCATAGTTTTTGATGTTAACTTGGTCATTTCTGAGGTTGGCCGGTTCATCTTGCATACCATTATTAGTCCACATTTAATACTGAGATATCTTCTCTAGACCGCAGAACTTGGAAACTGCAAAAGTTTGTCCATTGGATTTCTATGTAGCATTTTTGGTGTTCCCATTTTTCCAAGATACCTCTTTCTCCCACATCCTGGCTAGAATGCCTTGTTCTCAGAGTGTTTAGATGCAAAACTTGGGTTGATTCAGTGCTAAGGGGCATTTATTTAATGTGGCACGCTGGAACAGAGTCAGAAGATTCCAATTATTAATGCAATTTAGGTATGTTGATTGCTTTTTGACAGTTCCTTCCCTGGAGTCCAGCTTATCTGCTAAAGCAACTCTGTTCAAAGTCAAGGCTGAAATTACCTTCCGCAGTTGGGTTTAGTTTAGTGGCTTTTACTAAAACATTTTCCCCATTCTTGGATCCCATTCTTCTTATGAAGGGAGGTTGTATTACCACCTCTCAACCTTCATTGGGAAATTTGTTTCTTCTTGTAATTTGCTGATACCAGCCTTGTTCTTACTGATCAGTAGGTACATATTTACCAACTAGTGGCCTGCTTATAAATCAATAATGAGGGCCTATTACTTAGCATATATTGAACATCAATATTATGTTTACGTTGCTGAAATCTAACATCATTCTTTCCTTGCTTACTTGTTGTGGCGCGGGGGTGGGGGATGGGCTCCTAACATTGTATCAATCTAAGCAACATAACATTGTATCAATCTAAGGAACATCCTCTGCTTCATCTGCTTAGCTTGCTTAGGTTTAACCCAGCTGCTGAAGGAGGACTTCAGACCCTTCTCCCACGTTCACAAATTTCCTTCCACTCCCTGGTCCTCAGGCACAGTGATGGGGGGATACAGTGATGGGGGGATACAGTGATGGCAGCAAAGGAGGCTTGTTTTTGCTACATTGTGCCATGAGGTTGTCCATCAAGTTCTTTGACCTCCATCTGGAAAATGGAGCTGTCTCTGTCCCCGGGGTCGTGCTGAAGGTCCAAGGAGAGCACAAAAATAATGCTCTCTATAAATATAAATATGTAGTGCTAAAACATTATGTTTTTGAAAAAAATTATTGGGGCATCATCATTGCTTTGAACTGTAAAGTTCACATGGCAGATATGCTTGCTGTGGGAATTCCCTGCTTGAAACTTGAAATGAGTTTGTGGAAGAAATAAGAACCATGAAGCTGAGCTGAATGGGTGACCCCTTTCTTTCTTTCTTCCAAAGTTTGATGCCCACTCATTCATGCCGTGATCACCTCTGGATGCTGTGGGCCAGGTGTGAAGCCTGCCTCACAGCTGAAGTTTGAAATCTCCCCATTGCACCATAAATCTGCTTTCTCAGTAGTTTCTCTCTCCCCGAGGGTTCCCCTGCCTCCCACCACTGCCTCTGCTTCTGCCCTGGGCCATTTTCATAGGAATCGGTGATTCCTGTGTGCAGTGTGGGGATCTAGGGTTGTCAGAGCTCCACTGCTGGTGCCCTGCTAACTTTATTTCTTGTTATAGAGGGAGAAAGAAGTGGTCTTACCTAACGTTCACCAGCACAACCCTGACTGCGACATTTGGGTCCACGAGTATTTCACTCCATCCTGGTTCTGTCTGCCCAATAATCAGCCTGCCCTGACGGTCGTCCGGCCGGGGGACACTGCACGGGACACCCTGGAGCTGATTTGCAAGGTATGGAGCTGCTTTGGGTTGTTTCTCCAAGAACAGAATGGGGTGTAGGAATCTTCTAAGGCACACGTGGAAACCTAGAGTCATGTGGGAGAGGAAGGTGCTTAAAACACACCTCTCTTTCATTTCGAGCAGCATTGCATTCCTTTGTGATAATATTCATAATTATATTAGTGAATGCTTCACCTTTGGAAGGAGAGGAACTCTTCTAAGTGGCATCTTTCAACATGTGTGTTTGATAGATTTCTAATGCACGTATCACATGCTCATTGCAAACCTTTTAGAAAATCTAGGTGAAGAACACAACAGAAAATTAAGGCCACTCTTATGCACAAAATCCAAAAATAACCATTGTAAACGTTTAGACGTTTGACCATTCATTCTTTTTCCCACACACATACATGTACATGTGTTCAGTGGCATCATATTGTGGGTACCGTTTTGTCACCTGCTTTTTAATCAGTAACCGATACACTGTGAGCATCTTGAGAATTTGGGAAAATGGAAGGAAATATAAGTTTGCCCTCCATTGGTGGGAAATTCCTCTTTTGTGAACACAGAATTAGCCTTTTTAGAAACAGGACAAATGATTGAGCTCCTTTTCTCTACTTTCACCTTAAACCATGGAAGAAATGCCTTGATCTTTTTCAAAGTGAACCTGGTTTCATTTTTTCCCCCTGACGGGCAGCCAGGTGAATGGCCTTAAGTTAGGGGAGAGAGAAGAAAGAAGAACTTTACTTGCATGCTTGTTTTTATTTTTACATAACGAATAGCATTACTAGTTCTATGTAGTAGTCATATCAGGTCTGAGCCTGAGAAAGAGCTGAGACTTTGCCATTGTACCCATGGAGGAAGTGAAGCTCAGAGGGCCTTAGCTGCTTGCCTGAGCTCACGTCACAGTCAGTTGCAAAGGAGAGACTGAACCCACATCTGGCTTCTCTACAGCTGGGTGCATCCTGCAGTCCACAAGAACTCTCAGAACCTGGGTTTAGTCTTCAGGAGGGACAATCAGTAAGGCTCAGAAGAATCTAGAATATATTCTTAGGGGAGTGAATTGATCTTCTTTGGGGCTGCTAAAAGAAAAAAAAATGAAAAGCTTTTCTATCACAATTTTATCCTAGACGAGTTGGATGGATAAAATGACGTTTTAAAGATCTCATCATTCAACACAATGTTTGTAAATACTGAATGACTTTCACTATCTCCACAAGTACCTCAGTTTTGTAGTTCTACAATCAGCAATTTTTGTATTTTAAAAAAAGCAAATCACAGGCGGCTTTTTAAAGAAGAAACATGGCTCTTCATATGAATCAGGGAAATGGAGCAGTCCAGCTCAAATTAGCCTCTTAAAATGTCTTATGGACGTGGAGGATAAACAGAAGAATCACTTGTTTTGGGCCATAACCAAAGTCAGCCCTGACATGGATGTTAAAAATAAATGATAGCACCTCTCTATGTGCTTTGAATCCTTCGTGTACGAGGGTTCTAGCTTTTGGAGATAATGGTATCTCTGTTCACCATTTTTTTCATGTTAATTACTTAACAAAATTGGTCTGTAGAGGATTTCTGCATTCCTTTATTTATAGATTAGCACAATTCTTTAGAGACCCATTAACTTTCTGCAGAGCTGAAGAGTTATTGTCAGATCCGCAGATGAAGGTGTTGAAAGTAGGACTTTCTGGCCTTTTTGTATAAGCCCAGCTCTGGCAGGTGTTTCCAGAGGAATAATATGGCTTTGGAGCATCTGCGCACACTGGCTTTCAACTCAGTCGGGAATCGAAGGTTAAGCCAAAGTTTTCCAATTACCATTGATTGGTGGAAGATTGATCCATGAGTGAAGCAATGAATGATTGGCCCAATTTACGTATATTTGAAGCTTTTGCTTTGGAAGAAACTAGGGGAATGAAGAATAATATTGTCATTGCCAGTTAGAGACCATATCTAGATAATGTAGTGGACTGATCCCCTTTAAAGTGTTTATTTCTGTCACTTGAAGGGTTTCTGATGGCATCGTTAAGGTACAAAATCCCTTTCTCCGACAGTAAAAGTCCTGCCCACTTTTCCCTGGGCCCAGTTCTTTTTCCCAAAACACAGAAATAAAAACAAAGACAACGTGGTGTGGAACAAGCTTTATATCTCATGAGTTTATGCCGGGCACGGTGACTCACGCCTGTAATCTCAGCACTTTGGGAGGTTGAGGAGGGAAGATCTCTTGAGTCCAGGAGTTCGAAAGCAGCCTGGCCAACATGGCAAAACCCCATCTGTACTAGAAATATACACACAGAAAAAATCTCCTGAGTTTAAAAATGGAAGACTTGTGTATGCATTTCAGAATTTGATGGTCTTTGGGAAAACACCCCTGTAGGAAAAGTGATATAGTATGCTCAGGACAAGGTGCCTTCTAAAGCTTACTTCTTCCTTGGAAAACACCTTATTGTAATTAGTGGATCTGATTTTATTCTTAAGAGGGAAGGAGATAATGGGGAAAACAGTGCCCCATGTTATTAACAATCTAGTATCATGGTGAATATTCCCCCCCCCCCATTGAAAACAAAGATGATTGTAAAAATGCCTGTCTTTTGTTTCATTATTGTTATTCTCAATGTCTGGTGATAGATGCTTTCTCTAATATTTAATAATCAATCTGTTTCTTCTGTCTCTTGCATTCAGCTCATTCTCTTTCCTATTCTATTTGATCCACATCATTTCACATCAGTTTGCCATCTGCCATCTGAGCACCAGTCAAGTTCTGGTATAGTAAAAGTTTCAAGATCTTCATTTCATATACAATTCATGTCAGAGCTGTTACTGGAATGATTGTTGCTAAGTATAGCAGGTAACCATGTTGGCCTGTAGGTTTTGGATATATTCTGATCGTTACAAGTACAAAAATAATTGCAACATATTTTCATTCATTTATACCTACTGATGTTATTCACATATGACCATGTGTCAGTTTTATTTCATGCTTTTACTACGTCAGTTATGGCTTTGGATAGCTATAACCATTGGCGTTTAAAGAAAGAAAAAGTTACTTTGAAGGGGAGGGAAAATATCTCTAGAAATTCTACGATAGCACTTTGTGTGTGTGTATGTGGATACATATTTCTGTATGCAGTGACTACATGTTTGTATTTCTGTATGCAGTAATTGCATGTTTATATGTCTTCTAGAAGTTTGACTGAAATGGAAGAATATGAAGAGAAATAGAAGAGCAAAACATAATGGATTAGGAGAGCTAAGGCAGTAAACTCTGAGACGTTATCTATTTTAATTGGTGCAAACTATTTACTGAAAATATCTACATTGTGTTTTGCTGTTTCATCCTTTGAAATAGTCATAGTAAGATGCAAATTTTAAAAACTATGCCAACTAAACTAAAAATTGTTGTACCATAATACTTATGGTATAATTTGTGGCTGCATTGCCTCAAAATGAATCAAATGCTAGTAACTTAAGTACGTGTACATTGGAAAACAAATTTATACCATTTAAATCTTTTCCTAAGTGAATTTTCCTTGACTGCTTTACAAGTCTGAATTTTCTTTTGAATTTTCACTTGAATGTTTTATGTCTAAAGCAAGGCCACACGTTTAGAATTACTATGTTTAAATATCCATTAACATTTGAAATTCTTTTGCACAAAGATATATTCTGAACATGGTTAGTTGTTTGACTTGCTTTGATATTGACTAACAGGTATCTGAGGAGCATAAAATTGTTCTTGATAGTTCTGATGATCTGATTTAATTAATTCATTAAGATTTTCTTTTTATGTTAAACCAGCCATGATTAACAAGGGCTTATAACTCGGAAGCTTTTACCAAAATAATAAGACACACTGGTATATATTTTGATCCACTGTCCTGTTTTGAGAGTAACTATTTACTGACCAAAATTAGGGCTCTTAAGTTACAAGTAAGACCATTATAATTTTTATGTTTGCTGCTTGTGCTGATTTTTTTTTAAGTTATCAAGATATTATTTTAACTTAAACAAGTTTGAAAAATATGATGGTTGGTGGCAAGAATCTTTTTTTCCTTTTACTTATTTATTTATTTTTTTGAGACAAGGTCTCACTCTGTCCCCCAGCTGAAGTACAGTGGTGCAGTCATAGCTCACTACAGCCTTCACCTCCCAGGCTCAAGCAATCCTCCCACCTCAACTTGCCGAATAGCTGGGACTGCAGGCTCACCCCCACCATGCCTGGCTAAGTTTTGTATTTTTGATACAGACAGGGTTTCACCGTGTTACCCAGGCTGGTCTCAAACTCCTGGGCTCAAGCAACTCGCCCACCTTGGCCTCCCAAAGTGATGGGATTACAGGCATGAGCCACCACACCCAGCTAAGAATCGTTCTTATTACCATTGCTATAGTTATCATTCTTTAGTTCTCCGCAATGCTTTACACAATTTAAGTGAGGTGCCTTCACGTTCTCTGCATGTATGTAGAAATGTTTTCAGCACTGTAGCATTTAGGGGATGATGGAGTTCTCCATAGTCCACACCAGGACTACCTTAGGCTATCTGTGCCTGACAGTGGGCTGTCTCTCACACTGAAGTTTCAGAAGCCAGAATCTTCTTAGGTGAGGTTGCTGTTTTGGCCTGATTTCTGGAAGACAGTCTGTTTCCGTGGCAGTCTCATTAAGGAGTGCCCACAAAGTGTTTATTAATGATGATGATAAGGTTTCCAAGTGGATTTGTTCCTGTTACTAAGAACCCATGAAATTTCATTTCTTTCCCTTCCGCCTCAGTCGGAAACAGATGGTGAACCAAAAGTTTTGCTTCTAATTAAAGATTTCAGTGAGGACCCAGGTAGGTGGGAAGCATTTGCAGCTTCGATCTCTCTTAGGAAAACTTTTCTTGCTCAACACATCACCCTAAACATTAGTATTTGGTGGTTGTTTATTTATCTTGATTCTCCAGCAGTAGGTGGCACACTGAAAAAGCCCCTGTTTCATGTTTCCCCGGGCTTTCACCTCCACCCTTATTATCTTTGACATCAACAATCATGGATCTGTTGGACATTGAGCATCCGGTCTCAAATACAGACAGTGAAAGGACAAAAGCCAGGTGCACTGGGACGTGTTCGGTGGATGGCATCTGTGTCCGGCACAGTAGGCTGCAAACTATCATATTACTCAGGAGAGGAGAAAGGTTGGGGTTCCCAAGAATCACTGATAGAAAACTTTATCCTTCTGCTGTGTGTTCAGAGTGAACTCATTTCCACTTTCTGGAAATGTGCTTTTGCAAGAATGCGGGTTGCCTGTCCTGCATGTACGTATTTATTTAAAATGCTAAACCACTGTTGCCTCACCTCCCACATCTACATGGCTTGTACTTGCAGCTGCAGACAGTCCTGAAGACGGCATTTATGTTTTGTTAGTTCCTGTATTCTCACTACTGCACAAGGTGTCTGGCGTATCTAAGAGTTCGTTATATATATATATTACTGGAATAGTTATTGGAAGGCTGTTAGTTTGACTTTAAAAGTATTATTTTGAGGGTGGGTTAAGTAGAAAGAGTACTGAACCAGGTAACAATTAATTTTGTTTATTTTGAAATAATTCTTACCTGTAGAGCTTTGAATGTGAAGAGGTTTTATATTTGTGAAAAATTTCCAATTTGTATAAAAGTAGGGAACAATGTAATAAATTCCCATGTATCTATCACCTAGAATCTGTAATGATCAAGTTAAGTTTTATCTATTTACTCACTCCCACCCCCAGCTCTTTTTTATTTTGGAATCAAATTCCAGATGATATATCATTTCTATCTATTAGCGCTTTCGGATGTATCTCTAAAAGATAAGGATGCTTTAAAAAATTAATTGGTTTAAACATTTTATCTCTAGCAATATATTTTCATGTTGCTGTGTAACTTTCGGAGAGCTTTTTCTTTTTTCCCTGTATCCTCTTGACTGTCTACTATAAAACCATGTTGCTGTTATTACTTATTCCTCAAAATTAATTCAAGGATTACTTTTTAGACAGAAAAAAAAAAAAAATCTATTGTCCCATCCTAGACCGAAGGAGAAGCCTTGAAAATTTCAATTTTAGAATTGTTTTCTTTAAGCAAGTCATTCAGTGTGTTTCCGTAGTTGGACACATGCCTATTAGCACTGCCCCCGGAGAGAGTCTCACTTGGGGAGTATATAAATAAGACTGAAGTCCAACACTTCACTTCGAGTAAGTCTTCACACTGACTCGCTTGCAAATGAACTGTTAATAACTGTCCCACTGTCCCCATGTGGTTAAAAAAACAACTTTGTCCGGGCACAGCCTTCTTCTTTCATTGTAAATACAGTATTTTCTTGCCTTTCTTGTTACCCTGTTCTTTGATCACCTGTCTATGAAGTTATATTTAAGAACCTTTTTGATCTGCTGTGTTTTGTTGAAAATTTCACCAGTGTTAGCACAATGAATCAAATAAGAAGTGGAGATGTGAGTCAGTTGTTGCCACTAAATCCTGAGATACCTTTGGAATGTTACCGATGTGTTCAATGAAAGGTTATTTTAAAAGTTTGTATTTACGATGCAGACTTTTTAAGACGTGTAGAAACCTTATACCCCCCATTTAGTATCGAATCTCTATTGAGCCGGGCACAGTGACTCACACCAGCACTTGGGGAGGCCGAGGTGGGTGAATCACCTGAGGTCAGGAGTTCCAGACCAGCCTGGCCAACATAGTGAAACCCCATCTCCACTAAAAATACAAAAATTAACTGGGTGTGGTGGTGGGTGCCTGTAATCCCAGCTACTCAGGAGACTGAGGCAGGAGAATGGCTTGAACCCAGGAGGCGAAGGTTGCAGTGAGCCGAGATTGCGCCATTGCACTCCAGGCTGGGCAACGAGTGAAACTCCGTCTCAAAAAAAAAAAAAAACCACACACACACACAGAAAACCTCTCTTGGTCGTGGGAATACGTAATATGTTGGTGGAGAACTAATTGTGCTTATTTACTATTGAACGGGCGTTTTCTTTCTTTCTTTCTTTCTTTTGTCCCAGACACATCAACTGGATCATTCTGCTCATTACCTGCGCCTGAAATTTCTAATAGAAAACAAAATGCAGCACTATGTTCCACAGCCCGAGGAAGACATCTATGAGCTGGTAATGTTATGACTGTTGTCCAAGCACATTTTATGGGAGATTATTTTCAAATTATGAGTGTTCTTGTGTTAATTGTAGTTGGTGGAGTGGAACGAGTTCAGAAATAAATGAGCTTCATGCAGAGCCCTTAAGTTGGTGGAGATGGCCTTACTTAGCTCAGTATTTGCAGAGTGGCATGACGACCTTCGTTTACACAAGAAGCAGTGCAGTGCTATCATGAAAAGCAAAATCTAGAGCTTTCTCTTACATTGAACTTTAGTCATTATTGTAATTAATACTAGCTTGCCTTGCATTGGCAGTCTTTTATTTTATTGTATTTTAGTGTTTTTATTTTGTTGTTTAGAGACAGGTTCTCACTCTGTCACCGAGGCTGGATGGAGTACAGTGGTGTGGTCATAGCTCACTGCAACGTTGAGCTACTGGGCTTAAGTGATCCTTCTGTGCCAGCTTCCTGAGTAACTGGAACCACAGGCACATAGCACCATGGCCGACAAACTTTTATTTTTTATTTTTATTTTTTTTAGAGACAGGATCCTGCTTTGTTGCCCAGGCTGGTCTTAAACTCCTAGGCTCAAGTGATCCTCCCACCTCAGCCTCCCAAAGTGCTGGAATTACAGGTTTGAGCCACTGCGCACGGCCAGTCTTTTATTTTAAATTGGTGACTTAAAGATCAGCTGCTTGTCGTTACAGAAAACAGTGCTAATTCTAATTTTGTGTGACATCCGTAGGCACGTTGAAACTGCTGGGTCAAATCTTGTTGGGTGAAAAAAGCTGCCATCTATGTCCAGTCTTTTGGAACTGTATTTATATAGCTTCTCGAGGACATTTACATATATTTGAGTTTGAACATACTTATGGGACTGGGGTTGTGAATCAGACGTGCTTACTAATCATATGGAACTGGCCAAGAAAAAAAAAAATGAAATGCTAATACTTAATTTCTAGGATTTTACACAGATTAGAGATAATACGCTTACTTGGTAAATTACAATGGTTGTTATTTGCAGTAAGCCAGTGACAAGCTCTTTGCTTGTTAGCAAAGTGTTGCGTTCGTCAGTTCCAGGAAAGAAACATTTTGGGAGCAAGGCGCCTCTATTTTGGAGTTCCTGTGCTCTCTCTGTACTTAGTCATTCCTCTGGGGGCTCTGACTGCTTGCCATGGATGTGTGAATAACAGTGACTTCAGACAGAGTTTCACTACAGAAAGCGGAACTGAACGTTTAAACCCAAGTATTATTCTCTTTTTGGAAAAGGGAAGCATGATTTAAAAATGAGTAGGAAATTGTGTTTTTAGTCAACTTTATTGAGGTATATTTTACATTTAAGAAAACCCTCGCCAACTTTAAGGACACAATCCAATGAGTTTGGACAGACGTATACAATCTTGTTTCCACTACTGCGATCATGCTTTGGAACATTTCTGTTACCTAGAAAGTTACCTCGTGCCCCTTTAAGGGCTTTTAAGGAAATATAAGAGAGGGTGTGCTTTTGTAACACTTTTAGCATGTTATGCAATAGAGGATGATCAAAATAATGAGCCCTTTTTAAACTATCACTTAAATCGGTAACTGTTCTGTGTTCAGTACATTTAACAGAGAGAGCTGATGTATTTTTCTGGCCTAGGGAAAAGGCCAGATCTTGGTGCTGTTGTATGAGTAGAGGAAGGAAAACCCTTTTTTCTTACTTAAAAAAGGGAAGTGCTTTCCTACTAACACTGGAAGAGTTACTAGATTACGTATTTTGCATCTTGGGGTTAATGAATATTTCGCATCCTGAATTGTAGGGATCTTACCTAACCAGGTTCCATGTTCCTCATAGTTTACACATAAGAGGTATAGGTACTTCAGACATAGTTTTTGAAATTATACGGACTCGTTTATTATTTTTAAGCCTTGCCCATTGTGTGGTCTCCTCCAACATAGGAGACTAAGGTGTGCCAAGCTTAGTCTGTTTGGATTTACAATTTTTGTATGCAGATAGCTATATATGTATTTTAAAAGAATCTAAAGTACGGGGAGACCATGGTATTATTTCTTGGCCTGTTGCAGAAGGTCTCCAGCCCATAGATCTCTAAGGATGCAAATGCCACAGTCTTGCAAAACCTCTGTTTTGACCAAGGTTCTTAACTATTTTGTCCTTTGGATATTTTTGGTAGCCTAGTGGAGCCTCTAGACCCCTTCTCAGAATGATATTTTCAGTCGCATGAAATACAATACATAGGCTTACCTGTGCCCTAAATATATTGAAATAGTTCTCAAAAATATTTTTTGAATTATAGGTAATATATGTTCTTATTTATTAGCTCATGAAATTATAAGACTTAATAGGTAGACATAAACCTAATAGCTAGACCATTAAATTACAAGACCTAGCAGTAAATCTTAATAGCTACCACTGTTCTGAGGAATGATGAGAATAAGTAATATTTTGAGACATTAGCAGCAGCTAAAACATGATATGAAAATAACTGTGATTTCTGTTCGTGACAGAGTCACAGGCACTGGTACTATTTTACTATGTTTGTTGCCTACGTTCATTTAGGATAAAAGGAAATGCTGATTTTCAGTTTAAGGTTTGTAAATACAAAGATATCACTTTTTGTGTGTGTGTGTGTGTGTGTGACCAGGTTTTGCTCTGTCACCCAGTCTGGAATGCAGAGGCACAATCTTGGCTCACTTCAACCTCCGTCTCCCAGGTTCAAACAACTCCCTGCCTCAGCCTCCTGAGTAGCTGGGATTACAGGTGCCTGCTACCACACCTGACTACTTTTTGTATTTTTAATAGAGACAGGGTTTCACCATCTTGGCCAGGCTGGTCTTGAACTCCTGACCTCATGATCCACCTGCCTCGGCCTCCCAAAGTGCTGGGATTACAGGCGTGAGCCACTGCACCCAGCCGATATCACTGTTTTTTATCATCCACATTCACAGACCACTTGAACTCTATCCATGGGTCCCTGGTTTTGAATCCCTGCTTTAGGCCATTAAGCTGCACATAGTGTCATTCTGGAGACAGGGGGTTTCTGAACAGCATTCCTGGATGCTTTTTGAGAGTCTGCAGGTATTCAATGTCTTGTCCTTACTGAATAAGCATCAGACCACACACAGTTAATTGGTTTCCCTGGCTCACCTCCATTTTGATTTTGATGGACATGGGAAGCTTCAAGTGTTACAAGCCATTTCCCTATAAATGACTCATTCATGTATGACTCTCCCAGTATATTTTATTCTATGCCATTGTTTTGTCAAACAGTCTTTAGTAGCAAGACCAATAGTTAATTAGCAAAAGTATGTAGTATATTTTAAAGATCTTTTTGGAGGGTCTAGTGTGTTTATTTTGGGGGTCAGGGGATTCTCTTGCTTATGGATAACCAGGAATAGTTAGCCATTGATTTATCTGCTTTGCTGGTTGTGCTGTTAATACAAGTAATACCTGTTTGGCCACTTTTTCACGATGACTTGTTTGTTGGGTCTGGTCCACGGAGTGATCATGTACATGACTGTAGTCTGTGGAAGCACTTTTCAAAAACTCACACTAAATGAATTTTTTAATAAACTGACAGGTAGAAGTAAAGTTTGCAGAAACACTGATCAATTTATTTATTCACTCATCCAGCAAATACATATATATTTTAAAATAGAGTCTCATTCTGTCACCCATGCTGGAGTGCAGTGGGACAGTCTCAGCTCACTGCAACCTCTGCCTCCTGGGCTCAGGTGATTCTCTTGCCTCAGCCTCCCAAGTAACTGGGACTACAGGTGCCCACCACCACACCCAGCTATCATCTAGCAAATATTTATTTAGCATTTGTATGCCTGGCACTATTCTAGCTGTTCTAGGCTCTGGGGATACACCAAAACAATTCTGTTCCTGGTGGAACCTGTATTCAGGTTTGCAGAAACAGGTAAAAATACGTGCGAATGTGTAACATGTCAGGGAATGTTCAAAGCCTAGAGAGACAAGAAGTTGGGGCTTGTCTCTCTAGAGGGAGATGATGCATCTGCAGCGGGTCTTGTTGCTTTTTAATTTTATTTTATTTATTTTTCGTGGTTTTTTTTTGAATGTGATGTTTGAACAGGGTGAGTGAGTGAAGTGAGGGAGTGGAATCATAGAAGTATTTTGCAGACAAGTGTTATAGGCTGGCACACGCCTGTAATCCCAGCACTTTGGGAGGCTGAGGCAGGCGGATCCCCTCAGGTCAGGAGTTCGAGACCAGCCTGGCCAACATGGTGAAACCCCATCTCTACTAAAAATACAAAAATTAGCCAGACGTGGTGGCACACGCCTATAGTTCCAGCTATTCGGGAAGCTGAGACAGGAGAATCGCCTGAACCCAGGAGGCAGAGGTTACAGGGAGCCGAGATCGCGCCACTGCACTCCAGCCTGGGTGGCAAAGCCAGATTCTGTCTCAAAAAAAAAAAAAAAAATTCTAGGCTGAGAGAACAAAGCTGGCTAAGGCCCAGGCAGGGGGAGGGTGGCCATGGTGGAGGTGGCTTACCCGGTGTGTGAGGAGGATTGGTGGAGAGGGCGCAAAAGGGGGGATGCAGGAGATGAGGGGAGGAGGGAGAAAGGATAGGCCATGTAGAGCCTAAGTGCCATGGGAACCCCCAGAGAGAAAGGACACCGTTGGACATCTGTTTTGAAAGGCTCACTGTGGCGGATGAGTGGCCCACAGGGCATGAGAGGATGAGTAGCCAGGGCCCACAGGAGGCTGCAGAGAGTCTTTGTCAGGTAAGAGCATGACGGTGGCTCAGACCAAATCACCCAAAGGAGACAGAGAAAGAAATGATCCTGATTTTGTGAGAACTCAAGAGCCTAGGTAAGCAATTTGTTTCTTAAAATCCGGTGCTCTTCTCATCCAATTTTTGAAAACAGGGAAAGTTGCAACATTATCAGTTTAATAAAAGAAAGGGAAGATGTGAGCTATTTCATCGTTAAGTGCATTGATGTATAAAACTAGTGGATTTCAAAACTTCTGGTTCCAGATATTGTGGTTGCATTGAAAATACATTTTAAGGCCGGGCGCGGTGGCTCAAGCCTGTAATCCCAGCACTTTGGGAGGCCGAGACGGGCGGATCACGAGGTCAGGAGATCGAGACCATCCTGGCTAACACGGTGAAACCCCGTCTCTACTAAAAAATACAAAAAAAACTAGCCGGGCGAGGTGGCGGGCGCCTGTAGTCCCAGCCTCCGGGAGGCTGAGGCCGGAGAATGGCGTGAACCCAGGAGGCGGAGCTTGCGGTGAGCTGAGATCCGGCCACGGCACTCCAACCTGGGCGGCAGAGCGAGACTCCGCCTCAAAAAAAAAAAAAAGAAAATACATTTTAAAATATAAACCCTTCTTGAAATTCTATATAGTTTTAGTGTTGTTCACTAAACCTGGCTTTAGTGTAACCAGCGTAAGGATGTTGTGGCCAGCCGGCCTGTCTGTATGATACTGAGTTGCTGTCTGAGACCAGCAAAAGACGCAATGATATTCACACTAATTCCAAAGAAAACTAGGAAGTAGTAGTATGAAAAAATAGGAAAGATAATGCACAAAGCTCAATTCCCACTAGATCCTGTGGAAATGATTAAAACAAACAGTTACATACTGCCACCTGGAGGTAGGGTTTGGCACTTGAAGAAAGTTTTTAAAAATAAAACTAAGGCTCCTACTGAGTTGAAGTGAATGTAGTTAATGACGTTCCATCGAGCATTCTGTGGTGTTAGGGTATATACTGTAAACCTTATTGAATTTAGTATTTAGAGTTTTGGTGGCTGTTTCCTGAATGGAAAAGTAGTATAACTGATTTCTTCTTACTTGTAAATTTATTTGTATGAAACATTTCTAAAGTATAGCACTAAAGCCACATTCAGTCGTACCCTTGACACGTTGCATGTGGTGGGAGTTGCATTAAATTAAGGTGTTTAAGAGGATCCAAGCCGTCCTGTCCACGTTCCTACCCCCCACACTCCTTAGCCTTCTATTATAGCAAACGCTTTCCAGGCTCCTGAGTCATAAGTATTATGCTGACCTCTCAAATGCCCCAAGCAAATAAAGAGAAGAAACTGGCCCCTCTTTTCTACCTGCCCGAATAAAATCGTTTCTGGACAAATGGCTGTGTGGTCAGAGATGCGGGCAAGTTTAAATAATCATGAAGACTTCTCTTTAGTGCTAACGGCCATAGTTTTTGTTCTTGACCTTGGCTCAAAATTGGTTTTCATTTCAAGATAGAGTAATAATTTTAAAAATCTATATGAGCATTTGACACATCTATTTGTTTGTGAGTTTTTATTATAAATTTTGGATTTGAACCTTTGACTGACCTAGGAGGGTAGGTTCCCTTTGCTTTCATACCCTGTGTTCCGGTGAGGGCTGATCTGGGAGGCATTGTAATGTAGTGGAAAGAGTGCAGCTCTGGAGCCAGTGAGCCCTGGGTTCATAATCCCAGCTGTGTGTGAACGGGTCTTCTGAACTTAGGAAAGTACATTCTCTTTAGGCTCTTGCCTTTATTTGTAAAATGGAGATCACGCTTGTCTCTTGGAGTTAGTGTGAGAGGCATGACATATGGTCAGAACTCCATAAGTTATTGTCTTGATGATAGATCTTGACATTTGAAAATGAAATATCGATTAATTTAAACAACAGTGTTTCTGATGTGTGAACTTTGCACCGTTCTCATCTTGACTATGCATAAAGCTCTTTTTCCAGCCTTTTTTGTTTAAAAAAAGTTTTTAATAATGTTAACTCTTATTTTAGATTCAAGGGGCACATGTGCAGGTTTGTTACCTGAGTATATTCCATGATGCTGAGGTTTGCGGTACTATTGATCCTGTCACCTAGGTAGTAAGCCTAGTGCCCAGCAGTTAGTTCCACAACCCTTCTCCTCCTCTCTCCTTCCCCCTCTGGTAGTCCCCAGTATCTATTGTTGCCATTTTTATGTCCATGAGTACTCGTTGTTTAGCCCCTAGTTGTAAGTGAGAAGGTATTTGGTTTTCTGTTCCTGTGTTAATTCACGTAGGAGAATGGCTTCCACCTGCTTCCGTGTTGCTGCAAAGGACATGATTTCCTTCTTTTCCATGGCTACATAGTATTCCGTGGTATACGTGTACCACGTTTTCTTTATCCAGTCCACCCTGGGTGGGCATATAGATTGATTCCACATCTTTGCTATTGTGAATAGTGCTGCCATGAACATACAAGTGCATGTGTCTTTTTGGTAGAACGATTTATTTTCATCTGGATATATACCAAGTAGTGGGATAGCTGAGTCAAGTGGTAGTTCTGTTTTAAGTTTTTTGAGAAATCTCCAAACTGCTTTCCACAGTGGCTGAACTAATTTTCATTCCCAACAACAGTGTATAAGCGTTTCCTTCTCGGCTGGGCATGGTGGCTCACGCCTGTAACCCCTGCGCTTTGGGAGGCTTAGGCGGGCGGATCATTTGAGATCAGAGTTCGAGACCAGCATGGCCAACATGGCGAAACCCTATCTCTACTAAAAATACAAAAAAAAAAAAGCCAGATGTGGCAGCAAATGCCTGTAATCCCAGCTACTCGGGAGGCTAAGGCAGGAGAGTTGCTTGAACCCTGGAGATAGAGGTTGCAGCGAGCCGAGATCTCGCCACTGCACTCCAGCCTGGGCAACAGAGCAACACTCTGTCTCAAAAGAAAAAAAAAAGAAAAACATTCCCTTCTCTCTGCAGCCTCACCAGCATTTGTTGTTTTTTTTGACTTTTTAATAATAGCCATTCTGACTGGTGTGAGATGATGTCTCATTGTGGTTTTGGTTTACGTTTCTCTGATGATTAGCGATGTGTACATTTTTTCATGTATTTATTGGCCACATATATGTCTTGAGAAGTGCCTGTTCATGTCTTTTGCCCATTTTTTGATGAGATTATTCATTTTTTGTTGATTTGAGTTCCTTATAGATTCTGGATATTCCACCTTTGTCAGATGCATAGTTTGCAAATATTTTCTCCCATACTGTAGGTTGTCTGTGTATTGATAAATTTCTTTTTCTGGGCAGAAGCTCTTTAATTAGGTCTCACTTTACCATTTTCTTTTTTGTTGCAATTGCTTTTGAGGACTTAGTCATAAGTGATTTCCTTTCTTGGGCTTTTAGAGGGCTGATTAATTTGTGTACTTCAGTATTCTAGCTAATTTCGATAAAGTTCAGTGGCTAAAAAAAGAATATCCTCCTTTATGTAATTTGTTTTCTGTTTCAATGCTATCATTTGTCTCTACTTATTTGTACTATCATGAACTTTTTGGAAGGGACGCATAGAGATTTATCTCATTTCCATGAATTCCATACCAAGATCTTTATTACCTCTTCCTGGCTTTAATAAACTTTTTTCTCCCCACAGCTAGAGGCCTCCATTACTTTAGCATTATTTTTCAGGTCTGTAGAAGACATTGGGTAGGAATAGACAGAGAGTGATGTGGAGGAATTATTTAGAAACCAAACTGTGGCTATGTTTGAGGATGACAGTTGTAAGTTTTTACTTTTACTTTTTACTCTTAATGAGTTCCGTTTAATGAAAAGATTGTGAAGTGCAAATTCACATAAGTATCACTTGTGAAAAAATAGATCTATGAAATGACGATTTTTTAACGTTAGTTATAATGAAATTCTAATTAGATTTCTCTTTGTAACTTTTAGCTATACAAAGAAATTGAAATCTGTCCAAAAGTCACTCAGAGCATCCACATTGAGAAGTCAGACACAGCTGCCGATACTTACGGTAAGTTTATGTTTCTTTGTGTTTTAAGGTAAAGCATTTCTTATGTAAGCGTGTATTTATTTACAGTTCAACAAAATGCCTTTGGGTCCTATCTAAAACAGACAGTGTATCTGGCTCCTGTGCTGTGGAGGGTAGCCACACTAGGGAAAAAAAGGGATATTTACTCTGGGTACGATGTAGACTTTGGTGTTAAATTTCATAACTTTAGTTACTGGGGTTCTACTGTCATAAAAAGGAAGTAGGTAGGTTATTTTCTATGTCAAAAGATAAAATTACAGCTAGTTTAGTTATCAATCTGATTGGCTTTCATTTGTGATTCGTGCATGGGGCAGCCTCCGTTCTACAAAATAGAATGAGAGCTCCCTCTGGGCAATGGCAGAACAGTGATTTTTGTAAGGTGGAGACAAGGAAACAGAACAGTGGAAGAAGAAACCTGATTGTCTAACATTAGCTTACTTCAGATTACTTTTTTGTAAGGGTTAAAGCAGAGGGGACACACTTATTTTGCTGATTATGGTAGACCAGAATCTCTTGTTTTCAGGAAAAACTGGTCTGTTTGGGGATCTACCTGCTTCCTGAAAGTTTTAATTTGATTATGTGGCATCCAGCATGAGTGATTCCATTTTTTATTTGATCTGGCCTTTTGGGCATTCCTAATGCAGGAACTCAGTTCACAACAGTGGCCTCCCATAATTTTTGTTTAACATATACTATGATGTACCTTAGTAATGTAGGAATTATTCTTTTATACCCCTCTCCTGAAAACATAGACATTATCCTCCCTTCCCATACAAGTCATGTTAAAGGAACTTACTTTGGTTTTGTGTTGCGGGATCCCCAAGACCATCCCTAGGTTTGCTGATTCACTAGGAAGACCCGCAGAGCTCAGCATCTGGTCATACTCACAATTATGTTTTTTTTAATAGCAAAATTATACTGAAGTGGCTTCATTGTCTTGGGTGAATACCCAAGGTTCATTGTCTCACGTCAAGGGAATTGCAGATGCAGACACACAGTTGGGTTTAGGAGTAGAAGTTTAATAGACAAAAAAAGAGAAAGGAGAATAGCTGTCTCTCCTGCAGAGAGAGAGGGGTGCCCGAGTGGGTCTTCCGGCCAGCGGTGGAAGATTTTATAGCCAGGCTTGAGGAGGTGGTGTCAGATTTACATAGGGCCCACAGATAGGTTGGACCAGGTGTGACGTCTACACAGCACGCAGGGAAGCTGGCTGCCCCGTCCTAACTTTATTATGCAAATGGCGTCTTTGCCCGGCCGGGGCCATGTTCACTGCTCCTTACTGTACAGGTGGCTGGCAAAGAGAAGAGAGGATGGAGCCGCCGTTTTGAACATGCTTAGTTCCAGCTCGCCTTTTCCTATTGGCACAACTGCCAGCATTCACCGGTGTAAGCTTCCAGCTTGCTTGTCTGTATGTGCGGCTCGATTTTACAGGCCGCTTTTTGTTAGAAAAGAAAATTATTTGGGGGCTGCTTTTCATTAAAAGGAAAACCTTACTGAGGACTTTCTTCCCTTCACTCTCTGCCTAAATCATTTCATCTTAACTCCTATATCAATACAAAGCAAAATCACCAAAGGGAAAAGACGCGTGGAGCAAAGTCTAGGGGGAACCAGGTGTGACTTCAGCGAGCCCTGTTTCAGTGGAGTCGCATAGAATGAGGATAACTTCCCCAGCACCAAGTTGTGAGGACACTTGAGAAATGCTCCCTCCTGGGGAAGGCGATTAGAGACTCAGTGCCCAGGGCTTTTCTGGGGAGGCTGGTTCCCTAGGCAAGCTCTGCCTAGCGTGCACCAAAATTCCAGACTCCCAGGAGGAAAGTAGGCGTTCACCATGAATCCCATTGTTTGTACACACAGTTTAGGCACCATGAGCCACTTAGGGTGTTGGGAACCCTCCCAAAATCCAGGTTCTCAGGATGCCAGCCAAGGTCCAAATTTGTAAGCGGGCCTTTCGAACAACAGCAGTCAAGCCTGCTGTGTTAACGCTTTCCTAGGCGGTTGTCTACGTTCTGGTGGAGTTAAATATATATTCCTTTCCATATGTTTAAGACCAGTCTTCTTTACTTAGCATTACAGTGTATGGCTTGAATAGTAACAGAATTGGTGCCTGAGTAAATTAAGTGAGGAAAATCCATACTGTGCTCAGTCAGGAGCGGCGAGGTTAGCTGAGGTGACAGCCACCAAAGCCTGGTGGCTCGAAACAGTGACATTTATTTCTCACATTCACCATGCATCCCTTGTGGGTTGGCTGGGACTCCATACGTTGTCCTCATTCCACACCCAGGCATGGAGCAGCTGCCACCTGGGACAGTGCTTGTCACTCAGCGGAGGGGGAAGAGGAGGTGCGAAAGCAGATGTTGTCCCACTCCCAATTCATTGGCCAAAGTAAGTCACACAGCCATACCTACCTATAAGGGAGCGTAGAAGTGTGATTCTACTGTTTGGTAGAAGGAGAACAAAGTTCCTGGTGGAAAGACATAAAGACTACCGCATATGTTGACTTAAGATTTCTCTCTGAACCGGCCAGGCACGGTGGCTCACGCCTGTAATCCCAGCACTTTGGGACACCGAGGCGGGCAGATCACGAAGTCAGGAGATCGAGAGCATCCCGGCTAACACGGTGAAATCCCAGCTCTACTTAAAATACAAAAAAGTAGCCTGACAGTGGTGGGCGCCTGTAGTCCCAGGTACTCGGGAGGCTGAGGCAAGAGAATGGTGTGAACCCGGGAGGCGGAGCTTGCAGTGAGCCAAGATCATGCCACTGCACTTCAGCCTGGGTGACAGAGCGAGACCCATCTCAAAAAAAAAAAAAAAGATTTCTCTCTGAATCAAGTTATTAAGCTTTCTTTTGTTTTTTTTTTTTAGGACACAGTTTCCCTCTGTCGCCCAGGCTGGAGTGCAGTGATGCGATCTCAGCTCACTCCAACCTCTGCCTCCCGAGTAGCTGAGATTACAGGCATGTGCCACCATGCCCGGCTAATTTTTGAACTTTTGGAAGAGGCGGGTTTCACTGTGTTGGCCAGGGTGGTCTTGAACTCCTGACCTCAACTGATCCACCCACCTCGGCCTTCCAAAGTGCTGGGATTACAGGCGTGAGCCACTGCGCCTGGCCCAAGTTATTAAGCTTTTTAGCATTTGAAAATCTTTAAACTCTTTTCTGTGCAGTGGGATATTATATTCCTTCTGGACCTTCCCCTGTAGGCCACCAATCTTCATCTCAGAATACTCGAGGATTTGGACCTAATGAAGAGAACCCAATTTTGAACCCTGGCCACTTGCATTATAACTTTATGCTGTTTATTTCTTGACCTTAAAACTAAAGACATCATAAAGCCAGGAGAATGTTTCTCATCGCAAGGAATAAATGTTTATGAGCGGCCTATTATGCAGCAAAAAGCCGACCTCAGTAATTAGAGCTGTAATTGGTGGCAGTGAAGTGCCTGGATCCTCCAAAATTAGATGCTCCCCTAATGATTCTTCTTTTTCTCTTCAGTTTACTTAATTTTTGTTGAGTAAGGATAAACTAGCAAAGATTTAAGTTCAGAAGGCTGAATTTCAAAGCTCTTGGACTCTGATTCTAAGATTGAGGGATTCAGGGACCCCAAAATTGGAACTGGGCATAAAACTGCTATCGTTTGTATACTTTTTAATACTTTTTATTAAAGTGACTGAATTACTCACAGAACCCATTTACTTTTACCCCCTGAGGAAGGTATGACAGGGCACCAGGGATCAGTCTTGAGAGTATTATAGACAGTGCTTCTCAACCCATCTGATGCAAAGAAGCAGGTATTTTGTTTTGTTTTAATTTCCACTCTTTTGTAACTACCACTGCTTTGGTGAAATACTAAATTCCATGCTTGGAGGTTGTGGCAAAGTCAAGGTTCCAAGAGGTTCTTAATGCTTAGTCTCGGTTTCTGTCCTTACGTTACTGCCATTAGCCAACAGTTGGCACCTGTTGCTGGACTTCACTTTGAAAAGCCCTGCCACAGGCCAGACGCAGAGGCTCACGCCTGTAATCCCAGCATTTTGGGAGGCCAAGGCGGACGGATCACGAGGTCAAGAGATCGAGACCATCCTGGCCAACATGATGAAACCCCGTCTCTACTAAAGATACAAAAATTAGCTGGGCGTGGTGACACGTGCCTGTAGTCCCAGGTACTCAGGAGGCTGAGGCAGGAGAATCACTTGAACCCGGGAGGCAGAGGTTGTAGTGAGCCGAGATCGCGCCACTGCACTCCAGCCCGGTGACAGAGTGAGACTCCGTTTCAAAGAAAAAAAAAAAAAAGAAAAGCAAAGCCCTGCCACGCATGGCTAATAAGCTCAGTTAAATCACTTCTTCTCCGTGCTTGGGTTGGTTTTAGGGTGTGATGTTCCAACAGCATATTGATTGAAGAGGTGAAAGATTCCCCCAATCCTCAGAGATCTGATTGCCTCTGGATTAAAGGCTCCCACAGAGTCGAAATTCAGCCCATCTGTATCTAATATTAACACCTCGCTAAGTGGCTTCCGGTTAGATACTGAGTTTGGTACAAGTAAAAGCTACTAGCACAAACACAAAAACACCTCACCATACAGATCAAATGCTGCTTTCTATTTTAGAACACTTTAGGGAGGAAAATATAATTTAATAATCCAACTGACTGAACACATTTAAAGAGGGAACATTTACCTAATTTCTCTCTCTTGCCCCTCTCTCCACCGCAGCCTTCAGCTCACTCCCGGACCTTACTGTTGAAATTAGTTCACATATCCAATTACATGATACTTAGACTAAGCATGAGGCCCTAGGCTGCCTTGAAGTAGAAGAATGCGTCATTTCAGCAACTTAGTATTCCTTTTCTCTGGCTACTTCTAGTACTATTATATTTTTTAGTCATGTGTTCTCCTCATGTTATAGGTGCCTGTGCTTGTTATCTGAATTTTCGTTGTATCCTGGACTCTAGTTTTGAGTAATTCTCTATTGTTTATCATGTTATGGTTTTTCCAGGGTGAGGAATCTTTTGGTGGTTCATCTCATGAGTTTGTTCTTAGTTTCTTTTTTCTTTTTTGAGACAGGATCTTACTCTGTCACCCAGGCTGGAGTGCAGTGGTGGGATCATGACTCCCTGCAGCCTTAACCTCCTAGGCTCAAGCCATCCTTCCCACCTCAGCCTCCCAAGTAGCTGGGACTATAAGGCATGTGCCACCATGCCCAGCTAATTAAAAAAAAAAAAATTTTTTTTTTAGAGATAGGGTCTCACTATGTTGCCAGGGCTGGTCTCAAACTCCTGGGCTCATGCATTCCTCCTGCATTCCTCTCAAGAGTGCTAAGATTATAGGCATGAGCCACCACGCCCGACCTTAGTTTCATCAGTTAGTTTTAAGCACTTCCTTCATTCTCCTGATCATTATTCCACTTGCCACTCATGATCCCTTCCTGTGTTTGAAGCGAACAGCCTTCCAATTGGTGGATACATCGATTTATATTGAATAATTTCCCTCCGCCCCCTGTTGGCAATCATTTTGGACGATATTAGAGTTGTCTGCTGAGAGTTACAACATTGCTATCCTATTTAAAAGAAATAGATCTGACTTTGCTGATTAACTGTTAAAATCATTATGTTCTTCATTCAGCTCCACTTAATCCCGCTGTAGGATATTTCATAATTTTCTTTATATTTGTTCATATAGGAGATGGTTATAATGTTTTCCCCCTAGTGTGCAAAGTATTGGCAACTTTAAATGGAAGCCGCTCACCTCACATGTTTGTTGCAAGGCAAGGTGTGGGGAGGGCTTCCTTCTTGGAACAGTGAGAGGGGGCTCCTGTTTGACCCCTAAACCAGTGTCCAGTATGAATTCCAGTACAGAGCTAAAGTGCTATTCGCTTTGGTAAATTTTTGGCTTTCATTTGGGTGATCTTCAAAAAAGGAGCTTAGGCCCATTATCCTTTCTCCCATCCTCTTTCCTGTCATAGAGATTTCCCCACTAATTAGAGATGTCTGATCTGTTTCTTAGACCTGTTCTTTTTACCCAGTTGTCCGGTACAAGTTACATAATCAATTGCAGTCCTCAGACTGGAAGTCTCCTCTATTCTCACTCCTATTTTTAACCTTTTGATTATAAAAAAAGAAGACCAAGAAAACAGGGAATGGCCGGGTATGGTGGCTCACACCTGTAATCTCAGCACTTCGGGAAGCCGAGGCGGGTGGATCACTTGAAGTCAGGAGTTTGAGAACAATCTGGCCAGCAGACGAAATCCCATCTCTACCAAAATTAGAAAAATTAGCTGAGTGTGATGGTGTGTGCCTGTAATCCCAGCTACTAGGGATTTACTTTGTAAAACAAGAAATCGCTTTAACTCAGGAGGCAGAGGTTGTAGTGAGCTGAGATCGCACCACTGCACTCCAGCCTAGACAACAGAATGAGACTCCGTCTCGAAAAAAAAAAAAAAAAAAAAAAAAAAAAAAAAAAACAACGAGGGAATGGAGCAAATCAATACCCTGAGGTTCTCCGATCTCCATCGACTCGGCTCAGGTGACTTGCAGCAGGCTCTCACCGTGTTGGCCTCTTCTGCCATCTTCCAGTTAAGCAAAGGTGTTTCCTGGTACCCCACAGGGGTGCAATTTTTTAATAGAAAAAAAACTGGGGCCCAGGCCAGTAGTGCACACCTGAATCTCAACCACTGTGAGAGGCAGAGGTGGGAGATCGCATGAGGCCAGGAGTTTTGAGCCAGCCTGGGCTACATAGTAAGCCCCATCTCTACAAAAAAATTTAAAAAAATTAGCCAAGCGTGGTAGCACTTACATGTAGTCCCACCGCTCTTCTGGTAAAGAGGTAGGGAATTGCCTGAACCCAGGAGTTTGAAGCTACAATGACCTAGATCACACCACTGCAGTTCCAGCCTTAGGGGACAGAGCAAGGACCTTGTCTCTTTTAAAAAAAAAAAAAAAAAAAGGTTCTCATTGTAATAAATGGTAGCATTTCAGAAAAATTCCCGATATTTAGAGTAGTCCTATCATTCTTTCCGATACATAGCCCTTGATTCTCTCTGTCCTAACAAGATTTTTAAAAGAAATTTTCACATACAATGCAGATAAATACACCTGTGTTAGCTCATGTACTTAAATGATTTCTTGTGTAAAAATATTTTGATTTCAGCAGGGCTTCTTGACCCTTAATCGAAAGTTAGAAGTTGCTGAAAGAAGAGAATTTAAATAAGAAATGAAATGACTTTGGAGAGTCTTTAGGGGTGGCCCTGCCGTTCCCTATCTGAGGGTGTTATGGTTCTTGGAGAGGGCGATGGCAATTAGCACTTTTGCCATGTGAGGGTAATTCCATTTCCTGGGTCCTATAAGTAAACAAAAAGCCATTGGTGTCATTCATGACATGGCCCCAAAAGTTCAATGACTCCTGGGACCCAGTCTGTAATCTGTTTTGCGCCTGTTTGCCTGTGCTTGGTTTGTTTTCAACCACTGCTTTCCCCTCAGCATTAAGACAGCAGCTATCTATATTATGGGATGATTTTTCTTCCAGAGCTGAAATTATTGCAGATATATACAATGACGTGTGTTCCCATTGTCCTTTGTAGAAATATCTGCAAAGGTATTTCTTTCCTTTAGCAAAATAGGTATTCATTGTGGACACTGACGTAATTGATTAGGGAAGAATTTTACATGAGGCGGTCTGGAAACAGGAGTGACCAGGACCCGTAACCATAGAGTTTTGAGTACCTAGCATCCTCAAGCCACATAGAATACCTGGGCCTCACTCTGCTTTCCTCTCTGAAGGATGAAGCAGAGCCCAAGGTTAATTAGCAAATTGGCTTTGAGCTCTGGAAGTCCAGAGAAGTATAAGATAATCTTCTGATCCGATACTGCTAGAGTGTGAAATCAGGTACAGTTTCTGTAATGTGTTACTCATATTACAGATTCGTAATGTGAGTTGCATCTTGCTCCTGTTTGCACAATTGTATTAAATGAAACCATTGTCCATGTAGTCATACACGTGGATGAACACACACCCTCCAACAGTACAGTTGTAACATATTCTAGGACATAGATTGGATGAAAAATGTCTGGGGACTCTTGAGGTAAGCTAATCTTTCTGTTTTCTGCTTTGGAGGAGAGTATGGAAAAGAAAAAAATGATGGCGTTTACCAGGAAGCAAGATTAAACAAAATAATTTGCTTTCCTTTGAGTTGATTGGTAGGTAATATGAAGATAGACATACCTGGTAATCTCTGTTTTTACAAGTAGTGACTTCCAGAGTGATCTAAAAATAAACCTTTTCTGCTTTGTAAAACAAGAAAAAACAATCATTCCAAACTATAATGACAAACATGAGACATACCTAGTTCACAGCAGGCACTTCCTGTTGTTTGCTAAACATTCAGAAGGTGTGAGCCCTGCCATTCTGCCTTTCTGTGTTTCACAGGGTTTTTACTTTCTTCTGTGGAAGAAGATGGTATTCGAAGGCTGTACGTGAATAGTGTGAAGGAAACCGGTTTAGCTTCCAAGAAAGGTAAGTCAATGAAGGGCTGGTCTGTCCATCTTAAATGCCCTTTGGGGCTTCTCTAGTTTTTGAATGAGAAAGACTTGCCCAAAGGATTCATTTGTGAAAAGTATTTGAACATTTTCTCATTGAAAACCCTTCCAGGGAATGTGCATTTTATTCCATTAACTTAAGTGTACCAGAAAGCTCATATTCTTGAACTTTATTTTTTTCTTTTTTTAATTTTTAGAGACAAGGTCTTGCTGTGTCACCCAGGCTGGAGTCCAGTAGCGCAATCATAGGTCACTGCAGCCTTGAAATCCTGGGCTCAAGCCGTCCTCTCACCTCAGCCTCCCGAGTCGCTAAGAGAGTACAGGTGCATGCCACCACACCTGACTGATTTATTTACTTGCTTATTTTTCAGAGTCAGGAGTCTTGCTGTGTTGCCCAGGCTGTTCTTGAGCTTCTGGCCTCAAGCAATCCTCCTGTCTCAGCCTCTCAAATCACACATTTTTGGATTTTAAATCTGATGGAGCCCATTTCCATGGGGCTGGTGGGAAATCCCATTCTAATCATGTGGTCGTCCTTCTCCATCTTCTAGGATGATGTGGGGTTCCTGGGGGGATTCTTCCTGGAGCAGAGCATGGGGGAAGAGCCCTCTGTACTTTGGTCCACACTGGTCAAAGCTGGCATTGGCCATTACCTGAGCCTGCAGAGCTCTTTCAAACCAGATGTTCTGTTGCTTCCATTCATAGAAGAATCTGCAGAAGTTGAGAACCTAGGGATTTGAGATCCAGCCTCCCTCCCCTTCCTTAGACAGCACTTCCCTGCTACATCCTGCCTGTTTCATTTCAGCCCTTCCATGGCCCATAATGCATTTGGGCTACTTGGCGAACCCCAGCTCTCCATCCTGGAGAGTCTTTGCAACCTAGATGATTTGCTCACAGTGCTAATTTCTTAGAGCTACTGTAATAAACTACTACACACTGGGTGGCTTAAAATAACAGAAATTTATCCTCTCACAGTTTAGGAGGCCAGAAGTCTGAAATTAAGGTATTGGCAAGATAGATTCCTCTGGAGCCTCTGAGGGAAGAATGGCTTCATGCCTCCTTCTGGTTTCTGGCGTGAAAGCAGTGCTTGGCATTCTGTGGCTTATGGCTGTATCACTTCAATCTCTGCCTGAAGTCACATGGCTTCTGCCCTGTCTCTGTGTCATTAACATGGCCTTTTTATAATAACACCAGTCATTGGATTTAGGACCTACTCTAAATCATTATGAGTTGATTGTAACTTTCATGTATATTATATAATTATAATGATATTATAATTATTATATAATTATAATGATACTATAATTATATAATTATTATCTTGATATATGATATATATCAAAAATATGATATATGATATTAACTTATATAAATATATAATAATCATTAACATAATTATACTATATTATATAATTATATAACAATTATATATAAGTATAATTGTTTATGTAATTGTTATATAATTATGATGTGTAATTATTATATAATTACAATGATTATATTATTATAATTTCATCTGTAATATCTGTCTATCCCTATTTCCAAAGAAGGTTGTATTCTGACATTCTAGGTGGACATGAATGTGGGGGGACACTCTGTTGGACCCACTATACTCACTGTAAATAAATGGGACAGGTAGGTAGGGCTGGAAATCCACCTTTGTTTCTTCTTGCTATGGGATTTGTAGTTTCATCCAAGCAGTGGCAAAATAATACGTGTTGAATCTCAGAGATCAACACATTCAGGTCAACTGTGCTGAGATGTACTTACCTTGCATCTGTTGTGTTAACCACTGCTGAATGGAGCAGAAAAGGGAAATTGAGTGTTGGTCTTCGCCACCACTTTTTTTTGGTCCTAGTTCAGCTGAGTTCTGGGTAGTTCATGGCTAGCTTTGCAAAGCTACCTGTGCAGGTTATATTGACCTGTCCTGTCAACACTGGAGAAGCGCAACCGCAGACTTGGCTCTGCATGGAAAGGCAAAGGTGTGACGAGTGGGAAGTAAAGTCAGAATAATGTATCTGCTGCTGACTGTCATGGAGAAGCATTTTCCTTCTTTTTCCTTCCATACTTTCTAGGCCATAGGCAGCCTGGGGCCAGAGTTTGACACAGTCACTGAGCTGTATCTCAGCAAAGAGCAGAGATGACAGGATTTCTTCCCCTTCAAGCCCAAAGACTGATTTTTATCTCTTTCAGCACAATGAGTGTGCCGGTTTGCGTGGCACGGGGGTGGGGAATCTGCCGCCCTGGTTTCAGTCACATCCTGTTTTAGTTCTTTGAATCTGAGAACCCTGGTGTTAAATGAAGATGAACTGTCATCTGTACCAACCCCCTTGCTCTGTCCTCAACAGATGCAGGAGTGATGTCCATTCTGTCCTTCTGGTCCACAAACACGATCCCAACACCCGGCGTGTCTAGAAAGATATTGCGGGTATTTTATGTTAAATTTAGCTGTGAACTGGCCGGGCACGGTGGCTCACACCTGTAATCCCAGCACTTTGGGAGGCCGAGGCGGGTGGATCGCCTGAGGTGAGGAGTTCCAGACCAGCCTGGCTAACATGGTGAAACCCTGTCTCTACTAAAAATACAAAAATTAGCTGGGCATGGTGGTGCGCACCTATAATCCTAGCTACACGGGAGGCTGAGGCAGGCGAATCACTCAAACAGGGGAGGCGGAGGTTGCAGTGAGCTGAGATCATGCCATTGAACTCCAGCCTGGGCAACAAGAGCAAAACTCCGTCTCAAAAACAAAACAGAACCAAAATTAGCCAGGCATGGTGGCACATGCCTGTAGTCCCACCTACTCAGAAGGATGAGACACTTGAACCCGGGAGACAGAGGTTGTAGTGAGCCAAGATCGTGCCACTGCACTCCAGCCTAGGCAACAGAGTAAGACTTCGTTTCAGAAAAATAAATAAATAAATAAAAATTTAAAAAAACTGTGGATCACCTGAGGTCAGCAGACCAGCCTGGCCAGCATGGTGAAACCCTGTCCCTACTGAAAATACAAAAAATAGCCAGGCGTGGTGGTGAGTGCCTGTAATCCCAGCTACTCTGGACGCTGAGGCAGGAGAATCGCTTGAACCCGGGAGGCAGAGGTTGCAGTGAGCCGAGATCGCACCACTGCCCTCCAGCCTGGGCAACAGAGTGAGACTCTGTCTCAAAACAAACAAACAAACAAACAAACTGATTTCAGATATTTTAGAAACCTGAATAAGGATGTCCAGGGCGTGTGACTCTGTGAAGCTGGGAAGTGAGAACTTCTTTGCAGGGTCATTTTCTGCAGAATCTGAGTGGCATGCTCGAGGACCTGGGAGGCTTTTCGTTCCTGCAATTTATCATTTGTCTTTGCCTGCCCCTCACTCACTCCGTTTTTCAAGTTGGTTTTTCCATATTGGTATATAAAATTAGAAATTGGGCTCCTTTTTTCTTCCTAGCTGAAAGGATGATTTTATTTTCTTTCATGTTCTTCCCAACCTCTCCCTTTCTCAGGCTGCTGGAATGTTTCTTCCAGTGCCGGTTTGAACTGCACCTCGGTGTCTCAACTTCCTGTTCTTCTAGGTTGGGCTTGCTCATGGTCATTCCCTTGGGTCACAAACTTTGGCAGTTCCCCTCGCTGATCCTTTGGGGATCTGCTGAAAGAGATTCATCCCAAGGTTCTGATGTAGTTTGAAAACAAAACAAAAAAGGGCAAAAAGGATTGCATTGGGTTCTTGAAACTGTCATCTCTTAAGTGTATTTGGAATGAGACATCCTTACTTCTGTCCTCATAGCCAGAGTGAACACCCTGCATTTTGGTTCCATGGAAATAATCAATAGGTATTAACTGGCTGTGACTTGAGTGTGCACTGAGGCATGAACATGCACAAAACACAGATGGCAGTCATCAGAGAGCACTGTCATTCCACCCTCGCCCCACCCCAAAAGTGTAGGAAGATAGCCTGAATTAATTAACATTTGTGAGAAATTGGCAGATGCTTGGAACACTTAGATTAACGAAGGAGTAAGTTTGTTTGCTTGATGTATGAAGGACCGGCTAGGCATGTTGTCACCTGCAAATCTAGAACCTTCAGAATCTGAGGCCCATGTCCTTTCCTCAGGATCACTTCTGAGCACCGCAGCCTGTCTGCAGCAGCACCTGGGGCTGTGAGACCCACAGCAGGTGTGCCCTGTATAGCGGAGCTCCTAAGCTGTCGTGTTCTGATTATGTGTGTGAAATTAAAAATTTTCCATCTTGCGTTGGCAGGTCTGAAAGCAGGAGATGAGATTCTTGAGATCAATAATCGTGCTGCTGACGCCCTGAACTCTTCTATGCTCAAAGATTTCCTCTCACAGCCCTCGCTGGGCCTCCTGGTGAGGACCTACCCCGAGCTGGAGGAAGGAGTGGAGCTGCTGGAAAGCCCTCCCCACCGAGTGGACGGCCCTGCGGACCTCGGCGAGAGCCCCCTCGCCTTTCTCACCAGCAACGCAGGTATGACTGTGCAGGGTGCTGGGGGTGAGTCTGAACTCCGTTCTGCCACGACCCGGGGGGTTTATCACGCAGCGTGTGTGTTTCAGTGAGTGCCTCTGTCTGGCAGGTGGTATAAAATGTGTACACAAGATGTGCTGGTGACTGGCCCTGCATTTCCTGTTGAAATTTCAAAGGCAGAGGGATCTTTATTTTCTCATAGACCTGTTTTGCTACAAATCCACCTGTCACCCATGGGCAGCTTTATAGTGCTTCTGCTGTTTCTCATTTTGGAGAAAGGTGAATGTTTAGAGGCCTTTGGCTGTGGATAGAGATATGGAGGCACAGAAGTGTTGGGAATTGGGCCACGTGTGGTGGCTCGCACCTGTAATCCCAGCACTTGGGAGGCGGAAGTGGGAGGATAACTTGTGGTCAGGAGTTTGAGACCAGCCTGGGCAACATAACGAGACTCTATCTGTATGGGGAAAAAAAAAAATGAGCTGGACACAGTGGAGAGCACCTGTAGTTCCAGCTCCTTGGGAGGCTGAGTCAGGAGGATTGCTTAAGCCCAGGAGTTTGAGGCTACAGTAAGCTGTGATTGCACCACTGCATTCCAGCCTGGGAGACAGAGGCCTGTCTCTTAAAGAAAAAAAAAAAAAACAAGTGCTGGGAATCACATAAGATGCTGAGACTTAAGTCCTGCCTTCTCTGTCATCATCTTCCAAACCACCCAGCCCTGCTTTCCTACTGTCTGAGAGAAGGACGTGAGTTGAGATGCTGAGAGGCCCAGAGTGGAAATGTGTGCAGGGCTCTTGTTTGCTCTGTCTTTTGGACTTCTTTACCCTGAAGGCTGAACCTGAGCCCATCAGTGACCCCCCTACCCTGCCCTTCCTTCCTCACCCCCTCCTTCTGGCAACCTGTGCTCATTCTACTAGAAGCAGTGTGAGTGCCACCTGCCTTTCAAAGTCTTCCTGTGACCCCACAGAGTTAGCTCTGTCCTCTGGGCCCCCACGACCCTGCACGTTTGACTTCCATGTGGGCTCTCATTAGATCATGCGATTCTTACTTGCTTGTGTCTCTCTTTTTGCCTAAATGTGTTTCCTGAGACTGGATTTATATTCCTCATTTTCGTCTTCCTGGCTCTTTACGTGTGGTTCACTACGTGGGTGGCCCCGTCTTGTTCAGCAAGAGAGTGGATGATGGAACAGATGAGCAGCATAGATTGCTATCGTTTATTTCTCCATGACTGGGTTCTAGGGTTTGGGTTGATTTAGTAAGTTGGGGTTTTGTCATTATTTTCTCTTTTCAAAGCTTGGGATAAAAAAAAGAGGGTTCCGTTCAAAATCTGAAATGGAAGCCTCTTGGGTCCTTGGATATTCTTGCCCTGCTATTGTTTTTCAAATCGTTTTCTGAAGCTCGGCTTGCTGAGGAAGCAGGAGCCCTCATTCTTTTGTTCATTGACTCCTTGGAATATTTTGACAAGTTGAAGCTTCAGAAAATTGATTGCCCTCAGTTACAGTTGACTTCCTTGACTCATTATGTTATTGTGGTCCCCACATTTCAATCACGTTTTGGAAAAGTGACTCCAGTGAGTTGTGTACCCTTAATAAAGGAGAATGAAGACCATAAAGGCTGTTGTTTCATGTGGCCACAAGATGGCAGGCTCGACCCCATCAAACGGTTCACAGATACAGTTGTTTCTGGAATATGACTTTGAATGAGACATGTTATGTTAGAGTAGATTATTTAAAGGATTTTATAAGCTTGCACACCTACGTGGTATAAGCAACAGTGTGTACTCAACTTTCTTTGGATATTTTTCTTCTGTCTGAGCCCTTCTTCTGCGTTACAGATACGGGAAAAAAAAAAAAAACAGGTTGGTAAACTACAACCCATAGGCTAAAAGCAGCCCACCACCTATTTTTGTAAATAAAGTTTTATTGGAACACAGTCATGCCATTTATTTACACCTTGTCTCTGGCTGCTTTCTCTCTGCAATGGCAGAGTTGAGTAGTTAGTAGTTGTGACAAGGACTTAGAGTCTGCAGAGCCAAAACTATTTACTCTATGGCCCTTTACACATAAAACTTACTGTCCCCTAATGTATAGTATGACTGAGATTGCTCACAATTTGTTTTTTTAAGGATAGCCACTGTTAATGTGTTGGTCTATTTCTTTCTTCTTTTTTTTAAAAAAACTCTGTGTATGCGTATGTATATGTACATGTGTTTGCTTAAAAATCTATTAAAATACATTTAATAGAGTTTAAAATGCATTGAACAAATCTTTATATGCATTTAAAAGATTTTTAAAATGCATTTTATATATATCTATTTCAGAAATATCTGCGTATTTCTGTGTGTACAGTTGCTGTCTGGTCTTTTGTGTGGTGGAATTTTAAACAACTAGACTTTACACCTGACTGACTACATGTTACCTCCTTCAGACCACTCACCTTTGGAGGCTGTGCACTAAATCCATGGACCCTGCCATTATTTTGAAACACATTAAAACTACAATTTTGGGATCATCTTTGGAAGGTTTATTATTATGTTTTTTTCAATTAAATGGCCATAACTCGGAACTATTTTTTAAGTATTTATTTACTATGTGCCAGGCATGGAGCTGAAAGTATGATAATAAGTATGACTCAATTTTGTGCTCCAATTTATGTTTTAGTGTAGTTTTTTTGTTTTTTCATTGCTTTATCTTTGTGGTTTTTTTTTTTTTTTTTTTTTGTAACGGAGTTTCGCTCTTGTTCCCACGGCTGGAGTGCAATGGCACCATCTTGGCTCACTGCAACCTCCGCCTCCTGGGTTCAAGCGATTCTCCTGCCTCAGCCTCTTGAGTAGCTGGGATTACAGGCACCTGCCACCTCGCCTGGCTAATTTTTGTATTTTTAGTAGAGACGGGGTTTCACCATGTTGGTTAGGCTGGTCTCGAACTCCTGACCTCAGGTGATCTGCCCGCCTCGGCCTCCCAAAGTGCTGGGATTACAGGCATGAGCCACTGCACCCGGCCACATTGCTCTATCTCTTGAAATCTTGCAATTTTACAATCATCAAAAATCCTTCAGGCTAGGCATTAGGATTAGGGTTAGGGTAATCCCAGCCCTTTGGGAGGCCAGGGCAGGCGGATCACCTGAGGTTGGGAGTTCGAGACCAGCCTGACCAACATGGAGAAAATCCGTCTCTACTAAAAATACAAAATTAGCCAGGCGTGGTGGCACATGCCTGTAATCTCAGCTACTAGGGAGGCTGAGGCAGTAGAATTGCTTGAACCCAGGAGGCAGAGGTTGCAGTGAGCCGAGATTGTGCCATTGCACTCCAGCCTGGGCAACAAGAGTGAAACTCTGTCTAAAAAAAAAAAAAAATTCCTTCAGAACAGAGTCTGCTTTGTCAAGTTAGGTAATCAGACTGAGTCAAGAATAAAGCATGAAAGTAAAGCCACTGTATTGTTTGGTTTTTTATTTTATTTATTATTTATTTTTGGTAAGATTTCTAAACTGGCTTCAAAATTAGTAAATTTCGGAAGAATTTCTGAATACTCTGGTCAAGTAGCAGCCCAGTTGGACCTGCTGGCGGGGAGAAGGCGCTTCAGTTCTCCACCTGGGTCTCTGCCTATCTACCTTCTAATTGCTTCTGCTTTCTAGTCCCCACTTAACAATGGAAGACAAAAGTGGAGGCAAGTAAACAGGATAAAATAACTGAAAGACTGCTCCGTGATGGGGCAGAGATAAGCAGTATCAAAAGACAGCTGCAGTTAAAACAGAAAACAACCAAGAAAATTTTGTACAATGGGCAGGCTGGACTACAGCCTTAGTCTAAATTTAGAAGTAACTAAAAATAGGAAACATCCTGAGTGGCAGGTTTGAGGTTTGATGGGAGTAAGTTAAGGTGGATGATTGGTGTCCTTGACAGAGAGCCTTGCTGAGTCTCAGGGACCCTGGGGTCCACGTGAGTGCTGGCTGCTGCCTGGCTGCTGGAGGCTGGTCCTGCAGAGCTCCACGTCTCACAAACTCAAGTGTGCAGACTTGGCCAGGTCCTCCCCTAAGAACCCTGAGTGAGTATGGGATTAGCTTTCAAAGTTGTATTGTCTCTGAAATGCTTTCTCATAGAGAGGTTTGTTTCTTCTATGTGGAAGCATCACAGCCTAGTGGCTAAGAGTAGGGCCTGGGACCAAGTTCTTTGGAACTTAGTCCATTTCTTTGGGACTCAGTCATTGGCCGGGGGGACAGAGTCTTACTCTGTCACCCAGCCTGGAGTGCAGTGGCAGGATCTTGGCTCACTGCAACCTCTGCCTCCTGGGTTCAACTGATTCTCCTGCCTCAGCCTCCCAAATAGCCAGGATTATAGGCACCCACCACCATGCCCAGGTAAATTTTGCATTTTTAGTAGAGACCGGGTTTCACCATGTTGGCCAGGCTGGTCTCAAACTCCTGGCCTCAGGTGATCCACCCGCCTTACCCTCCGAAATTACTGGGATTGTAGGCATAAGCCACCGTACCCAGCCAGAACTCAGTCCATTTCTGTGTTCATCAGCTTCATGACCTTAACCTGGTCATGTTTAATCCCTCCGTGCCTCAGTGTCCTCACCTATAACATGGGGATAATGGCACCCTATCATCTCACTGGGCTATTGTGAGGACTAAATGACGCATAAAAGTAAAGCGTTTAGAATATTATCCGGTAAGCGCTCAATAAATGTTCTGTATATGAAGCCATTCCCTTATGGGGCACATGAGGATTCCCTGGCCTATGACCAGAGATTGCTCTTTTTCAGTCTTCTCCCTGCCTTCTATGCTGCCTCAGTCTGCAACAGGTGAAGTACCTGATAACTAAGTTTATGAATGATACCCTTTTATGTTTTCCTTTCTCAAGTAGAAAGAAATGAATTCTGAGGTTCCTGGGTCCTTTTTCAGAGCTCATGGAGTCATCTAGTCTGGGATGGGGTCTGCGTCTGCATTTGTTCTGGTGGTTGCTTCTAGCGTCCAGCCCTGCTTGGGAGCCACTGCCTTAGGTCACC